TGTCTTTTGCAGCAACTTGGATGGAGCTGGAAAAGATCATGCTTAGTGAGATAAGCCAGAAAGAGAAAGAAAAATACCGGATGGTGTCACTCATAGCAGTAGTATAATGGACCAGGCGAGAAAATAACAAAAATAATGAACAACCATATACCAGAGACATTTCGTGGGGTGGAGTGGGGAATGGGATCAAAAACGGGGGGGAGGGAAGGGAGGGAAATGCACGGGACTATGGTGGTGGCACAGGGGTGATTTGATGATGGGAAACCCGTGGGGATTACAATCGAGATGGAAAAAAAAAATGTGCAAAATGATGTAAAAATAAAATTTGTAATAAAAAAAAAGAGTTGACTAGGGTTGAAGCAAGGTAAAGAAATAAATCAAAATTTTATGATAAAATAGCACTGGTAGTCTCACACAATATGGCCTTCAGGAATTACTGTTCTCAGAGACAAATGTGACTTAAACACATCAACTGACCCTAACCAAAGGATAAGGTGAGTATCTTAATTAATAAACAGTAAGCCATCCAAAGGCTTTTGTTTAATGAGTTTGTGGGTATATGGAAGGCAATGATAAAATTTTGTTCTTTGTTTCTGTAAATAATTCCTAAATTTGCATTATTGGATATGAACCATGAAAATAGGTAGAACTATTAAAAAGGAGAGCAACATATGAAAACCATACTCACCATTTTTGCAATCATGGTTACGTATTGACCTGCACGTTGATTGACAGCAAAGAAGTCCAGGAGACGTGAAAACCAGAATATGATGTCTATGCAGTATATTAGTCTTCCTGCTGTGTGGAAAGGAGGGTCACCTAACCGAAGGCCAAAACCAACTGAAAACAGGCCAATGGCCAAAGTTTCCATTAGGTTCCAGTACTCACTAATCCATACCTTCACCTTTTGAGTAAATTTCCCAGGCTCTGAAATACAAACCTACAGTAAGAAAAAAGAAGAAAAATTTAAAGAACGGGCTTTCAAAAACAATAAAAGGATGGGGGGAGTAAAGTATTGGTGCCTCATCAATATGATCTTCTATATATCACCTGCTCATTTAAAGAGTCTTTTGTATCCCAACAAACCTTAGCTCATAGGAGGATTATTGAAAACTTAAAATTATTCTTAGGTGGGCCCTCCCTGATGGAGTAGCGGGTTAAAGCACAGCACTAAGAAGCTAAAACCACTTTAGTACAAGTTCTATCCCTGCCCCGGAGGTGACCCACATGGTTGGCAGACCTTTCCTGGCCCACCCGCTGCTCCCCTCAGCAATGTACTTCGTCCATCTGCCTGTTCTGCTTCCCACTCTGCCTCTGGTGAGTCCTCTCACTGCCCCTATTCCTCTTGCCTGTACCCCAGTTCTGTACATATAAATAAATAAATCTTAAAAAAAATTATTCTTAGGTAATCAATTAGCTGAACAATTTTGTAAGTATATTTTAATGTCACTGCAAGTGCTAGCAAGCCATCTGAAAACCCAACTAAAATAATTATTTAGTTTACCTAAGACATTTTAAAAATCAGTATTTCAATAGCTTTATGTAACTACAATTTCATTTCATGAGAGCTGAGTGCAAAGAAACTGATTTGAAATCAAGGAATTTTATAATCTGGTACTACTACTGTTATTTATTGAGTTGCTAAGCTACTTACTATGAATATCTGCAAATTTCTAATAATGTGATATTAGAAATATCTAATACAAGAAATTATTCCTGCAGCAGAATATCAAACAAATTAAAATGCAAAATAGCAAAACAATTCTCCTCAAAACATAAAAATTGATAGAATTCAGATAGTGCTTTTCTCCTGAGTTGTTACCATAATCTATAAACCCCACAGTAATAACTAGCAGACAATAAAGGCACAATTACTGAGAGTACAATTACTTAATACCTAATGACATTCATATTAACTCTAGGACAAAGTTAATGTATGTAAATGCAAAGACATAGAAATACGCAGACACTATCAAAAACAGTATAAGTTATAGGTTATAGACATATGAAGTTGTAGCTTTATCTGCTTGGGACTATTCATTTTTTTAATGATTGCAAACTAAAAATAAAAATTGTTGTGTTGTGTTGTTTCTTGGACTACCAGCCCCAGCAAGATTTTCAGCTTCAGTTTTCAAAGGCAGGGTCTTTCAAAAGCTGTATGGAAATTGCTTACATATCCACAACTTTGGCCAATTAAATGAAGCGATGGCAGTTTACAAACACCAATTTAATTTAAAAAACACTCCTGGAAAATCAAATCGTGGGATAGGGGTTAATAATAGTTAGATGGCATCATTCTAGGATTAAAAAACATACTAACATATCTTCTTTGAAAATTACTGCTTTCAAAGACAGCAGCTAGCAGAAAGTACATGGCAAGAATAAAGAGCCATTCACCTCCTGGAGCATGTGCATCAAAAACACTATTGCCTGTCTCACATCCACTCTTGACCAGGGTTCAAAACATCTCTAGTAGAGGTTTGCAGAAGTCGAAGGTAGAAGGGATAACTCACCTCCCTGATTTTCTCAATGGCATTGGTGAAAATGTAAATGATAACAAGCCACTCTTGCACACTGGGCTGGGGCTGCATCTCCACCAACACAGTGTAAGTGAACAGCATGAGGAATGCCAAATACACCATCTGTGAAGGGGACACACATCCCTGGGTGTGAGTGAGAACCATCATGGAGCATGCTCAGGAAATGGACTGAGTCTCACAAAACCACACACACATGAAAATATCATTGGTAAATTAATATCAAAGCAAAAGGAAACCACAGTTTCTAATCCTGGATTTAGATTTTTTTCTCAAATATATGGAAGGGAGCAATGTCTCATCTTGATGACTTCTGGCCAGAATTTCCAGAACCATGAGCAGTCAAGCATGGACACCGTAAGAGCAACAGGAAGCTAAAAGTAATCATGCACCTTCCTCTCCAGTTAAACATAGAACATGAGTGTGCTGTCTATACCAAATGAACAACATTAGTAATTGCCTATTTTCAAATATAATAAATGATGCATTTACTGACTGCTACAAATTTTATGTTGATTGAAATATTCTGGTCAATGGAAAAGTATTATCTAACTCAGAGTCCTTGTAATTAAAGACTGTTGATATTCTTCTCACCAGCTCTCAGCATGCTGTCACTTAGTTAACATTCAATAAATGCATGCTTAATTACTGGGCATATTAAACTAAGTCATCAGTCTTTACACAGAATAAAAGCATAGTAAATGCACACACATTTATACTTAATGATTAATAAATTTGTAATCATATTTCATTTTTTTATCTTCTTAAGATATATCACAAGAAATAGAATAGCTGGGCACACACATTTAAAACTGTGACACATCACTAAACCAGAAAGTCTTTACCAGTTTCCATTATCATCACCAATGTATGTGATGACATGGTCCCTTAAATAGTTCTGGAAACAATACACAAGCACTAAGTAACTAACACTTGTGTTTAAAAATCCCAGATCAGAATGCAACTAGTACAACCTCCACAGAAATCTGTTTGGAAATTTCTCAAACTGCTAAAAATGGAACTTCCATATGACCCAGCAATTCCACTCCTAGGTTTCACCCCAAAGGACACAAAAACACTGATTCAGAAAGACACCTGCACCACCATGTTTATAGCTGCTTTATTTACAGTAGAAAAGACATGGAATCAACCCAAATGCCCAGAATGAATGGATTAAAAAGATGTGATACATATACATAATGGAATGTTACTCAACAATCATAAAAGATAAACTCATGTCTTTTGCAGCAACATGGATGGAGCTGGAAGGGATCGTGCTTAGTGAAATAAGCCAGAAAGAAAAAGAAAATTTCTGGATGGTTTCACTCATAGCAGGAGCATAAAGGACCAGGGGGAGGGGAAGGGGTGGAAATAATAATAATAATAACTAATAATGAACAACTATATATAAGAGACATTTTTTTACAGGGTGGAATGGGGAATGGGATCAAAAATGGGGGGTTGGGGGAGGAGTTCACTGGACTTTGGTGATGGCACACGGGTGATTTGGTGATGGGAAACACGCAGGGATTACAGCTTGAGATGGAAAAAGGCACAAAATGATATAAAAATAAACTATTCTATTAAATTTTTTTTAAAAGTCAGACAAAAAAAAATCCCAGATCAGTCAAGAGAAAAATGTGTTTGTGTGCACCTGTTTTCATATTCAAGAGACTCATGTTTTTTAATCATTAATTTCTATTTCTCATGTATTTTTGAGCACTACCTAAGTTTCATAAATCTTTTCCTGTATTTAGCTCTACCTAAAGATAACCTAAATTATGGTGTAAAGCACTCTGACCATACAATAGTGATGATATTTGTTATGATCATGTTTTTCAGAGGCACATAATGGATATTGCTGCCTATAAATTAGAGTTATAGTGAAGAGCATATAAAGGAGCTAAGGTAAAGTCTATTAATTCCACACTTTACTTGGTCTAGGTCACAAAGTCTATGTATAGTTAGTGGTCCAGTAGGAACATAATTTAAATAGATTCATTCTATTGAGAAAGTATTTAATTTTTGGTTATTGGTTTCATGGTGGCCAAACTCTAAAACACTATGGATATTGGTAATGTTCCTTCTGACTGATTTTTTCTAACTTCTGTATAAGACCAAAAATGCTTACATTTTCACTTTTAATTATAACATGTATAAGGAGACACTTCAGCAATAAAGCTCACACGGGAACTAACAATGTGGTACCTAAGACTAGAAAGCATTCTAGTCTTTTCATTACTAACACTGCTCACTGCAGTGGGCAGATCTGGCTGGTTTATTTATTCTATTTGCTATTATTGTTTCTTTTGCTTGACTTTGTCTCATTTCTGAGAGTTTGGATATTGGACATTCCTAAGGAGAAATTTTTTTAATTTTACATATATATGTACGTATGTATGTATGTATACACACACACATATTTATTATAACATTCTTCATTTTGTACATTTTTTCATCTCAATTGTAATCCCTGTGGACTTCCCACCACCACTTTACCCTATGTGTCATCACCATAGTTCCATGTGCTCCTCCCACCCCAGTTTTCAACCTATTCCCTTCTCTGCCCCTGTAGAATGTCTCTAAGGAGAACTATTTTATTACTCATTTTACAAATGTGTGGCTATGATTATAATTCTCTCACAGTTACTTTCAAGATTCCTTGGGATGTTCTGCTGTACATCCACAAAAATGATGAAACCTGATCATTTTAACAGAAATTTGATTTTGAAAACAGATCGTGCTCCTTATTCAGTAAGTACATGAATAAGTACATGATTGGCTAGGTAAATATTTTGAAATCTAACATATTTATATAAACATCCTTTTGTTGTCTCACCTCACATATTTTAGATAGAGAAAGTCTTGGCCATGAGTGATTTAAGTATAAATAATCACTAGAAAAATACTAAATAAATGTAAAAAACATTTAACACATTACAGCATAGCTTCTCTGTATCTCTACAATCCATAATATATTTATTATTTGTTCCTACAATGCAATTCCTAAAATTTCTATTGTCACTAATATATTTACAAGCCTATATACTGAAGACAAAAAAAAATCAAAACTTGCATTTTTTTCTATATTATACACATTTATATAAAGAAAAAGCAGTGATTTCAACTTATTTTTTGGTCCAACATAAAAAAAGAGTCTATCTGCCTCAGTTAATTCTATAACCATTGCTCTTAATTTTATTGTTCCACAAAGTTTCAAATGTTCAATCCAATCCCAGGAGTGCTAACAGGAAGCACCAGAGAGAGAAGGAAATACTTGTTCTTTGTTCCTACATTAAGAGGGCCCTGTTTCAACATTCCCTCACCTTCTCCAATCTTGTTCCTACTTCCACTGCCGTTTTCTCTTTCTCTCTCTCTCTCTCTCTCTCACACACACACACACACACACACACACACACACACACACACAGAAACTAACCGTGTAAAAACAAAACTTGACAATTGGAGCATTGTAGAACTCGTAGACTTTTCTGGTCCATGGAAGGCTTTTGGGTCCACTCTTAAAATCAAAGTGCTGATTTCCTTCAAGTTTCTCATCAGGGCCCTTTTCCAAATCACTGTCTTTCTGCAAAATAGTCATTATTTTCAGGAGCTCAGCCAAAATATTTACACTTGCAAATATTCCAAAATATAATAAACATATAATAACATAAACTTAATAGATATATTAGAAATTAACTAGGCATTAACCTGTCAAATTATAGTGTTAACTGTGAAAGGAAAGAAAATCACATGTATTATATACATTTTGACAGGATAAAGACCACAGGATATTTCTGCAATACAAGTTGAGGTTCCAATAGTCATACCTAGCTAAACAAAGAATAGTTGCAAAAGCAAATCAGACAAGCTAGCTAAGGATGCCTCATTGAAGTATTTAATGTCAGAGAAGATGTTTACTGCACTTCCCAGTAAATGACAACTTTATAAGCAATAATTAAAAAAGCAAAAGGTATAGCCACAGACAACATACAGGAGACTTTCCACTGAAGATGGGTTGCAAGAGAAGTTACCAGGAAAGAGCATACATCTGGGAACTCAATTAGTGATTCATAGTCACTGGATATATTCATCCATAAATGAAAATATGTATGAATAGTACAGTAAAGATCAAGGCAAATTATACATTTATAAAGCACTTTAAAGATATAAAGCATTCCCCATTGTAGCCTCCAAGAAATAGTAAAACTACTTATTCTACTGACCATAGGAGAAAATGAAAAGTTAAAGAGTTGCCACATATAATTAACACTTTGAAATTGGCTTTGAGGTAGAAATGGTATGCTCTGCTTAATCATTATTCAAGTAAATTAAGTGAGACCTAACCACATGTGAGACCTAACCACATTATAACATGATTGAGATGATAGCAGAAGTGAACTAAATCCCTGAATGAAGTCAGAATGACACATCACTAAACTGACACAGCGACAACCAAAATGTTTGCTTGTCAGATTGTTAAAAAATTGTTAAATGTTATAAATGTGTTATATATGTATATGTGTAATAATATTGTTTGTGCGCATTCAGTTCCACAAGAACATGTTTCATGGTGATGTGACACTAACCGGTGAAGCACCTTCTTTGGCATCGTTGGGGTTCTGGTCACTATAATACCATGTAAACTGGGAGTCCTGGGCCTGGGGGACATGTGACATTTCTGCTTTGCTTTTAAATTCCAATGTCAAAATTGTGGCTGGTAAAAGAATGCTAATGATGATCTTTAAAAGAAAACAAAGCAAAGTAATAATTAGTAAGGATTATACAAGACACAAGTATTATTCAAATAACATACATAAGATCTTAATGTATATAAAATGTCAGACTCATCCCTAATTTGGATAGTTGCTACCCTGATTCTACACATACTATTTGACTCAACAATCTTAATTCTAGAAGTGTCTCCCTAAGAATATTCTGAATACAGTTTAAGGGTAGTCTTAGCAAAGGCACTTATTCCCTGAAACAACACAATGGATGAACAGAACAACAAAAGTTGTTAATTTTATAAATATATCTGCATTCTTAAACTGAGAAAATTTCACTTAAAATCTCATTTCGGAGGCAAGAGTGCTAACTAATAATGAAAGTTTGTATGTTTTTAACTTCTAACTCCTTTCACACAAGTAAGTATGTTTTATGATGGACACAACAGGTAATATCATCCCCATTTTTTAAAAGAAACTCTAGTAGTTAAAACAGAGTAGCTGTTAGAGGTTCCACTGGAAGGATCTAGTTCACTATGAGAATCAAAGTTATTAATTAGTTTTCCTGAAAATACTCTTCTGGAACAAGTTAAAAAGTTAACTCAAGAATATCAACCTATAAACTAAGCAAAAATGAAATTGTAAAACAAGTAAATGTCACCTTTAACCAAGAGCTCTTCCTCATTTTCAGGCGGCCCATCCACATGTCCGTCAACAACATTTGGGTACAAGTATGTGAAACAAAAGGTCGCACTCCTCCAGACACAGCCAGTTTCAAACAGGTAGAATTGCTCCAGTTCTTGAGTTCATAGGTCAACAATTTCATGGCCATTCTCTCATTCTGCTTAAATGCCTTTTCCAAAACATCCAGGGCAAGCTGGCCAAACTGTCTGTAACAACACAATGGTGAACGGAGGAATACAGATGCAGCTGAGGGTCCCAGAAACATTCAAAAAAGTTAGGTAGGAGATCCAGAAAAGACTGATACAAAAGAGGTAACAGCAACTTCATTATCTGTTTGCAGAAGTTGTTTTAAAGGAATTGCTTTTCAGAAAACAGATTGTTCTCCTTATCCTGAGTAGACTGAAGTAAGGATTTAGACTTCAGCTTATAAAATTTGGTTTACCCAGGAGCGCATGAGCTATGTGGTCAATGCACACCCACCACAAAACAAATTACATACTGCTTGACTAGGTCCTTCCTGCTAGCCCTGATAGAGAATTCTTTGACAGACAACTTTTCAAAGCTAACCTAGTAACGAAAACTGGAATTTTAAGTATACAACTTAAATAAAAAGCTTACAACTAGAGCCACCCTCAGGTGATTTTCTAAAAGGTTTTCTTAGCTAAGGAGCTTCTGTCATTCTCTGGAATAGTTTTTAAATCAAAGTTATAAAGTAGTTAGTATTAACTGTACTTTCCCATCTTTCCTACCATGGTAACACTTTAGTAATCAAAAACATTTCTAAGTTGTCCATCTTCTACCATCACATCTGCTCTTTAATATATATTTATTTGTTTATGTACCTATGTGATACTTAAATGAGAGACTTAATATAACTTAGTAGTAACAAAGAGTTTGAGAGTAGGAAGGAAACTTCAAAATCATTACTTAGACATTGTATAGTTAGGAAACTAAAGTCCTAAAATCTGGCAACTGACTTGCCCAAATTGTAAGCAGCAGGCCTAGATACAAGTCACTTGCAGGCCACCTCTCTTCCATTCATTCCACAAAGCTCTGTGAAACGTCAAAAGAGCCTGATTTTTATAGGAGACTCCCTGGAAGCATGAAATGCATGGCAACATGGTTACTTATCAAATAAGGTCTAAGGGGAGGGAGATAAAAGTGTCTAACCATTCTAAGAACTGTCGATGCTTAGTATGAAGTGAAGAGAGAACTCCTACTTTGAGTAATTTTTCAATTCGTCAGAGGCATCATCCACCATGTTGCTCTCCTTGGCTTCACGGGCCATTGCTCGGTAGAGTATACTGGCAATCACTGCCTTCGCGGTGGCTTCCTCTCCATGTTGCCAGAAGAACATTGCCATCTTCTGCCTTTTCATTAGCACAGCCCACACCAGCAGATCATTATAAGGGTAAATAAAACCAGTAGAATCAGGGTCATCAGATAATTTTTGTTCTTCTTTTGACTTCTTCCTTGATTTATGGACAACAGCCTTCTCCTGTTGAAAAATAAAATAGGAATTGAATTTTCAAATAATCAGATGCATGACATTCTACGTAATAAGAAACATATATCTTAAACATTTTTTTAATCACTGCCTGAAAAGAGAATAAAATTTTATGTAGAAAAACAAAAACCAACAACCATTCGCCTTTTAAAGCAATCTATTTCTTATTGTATCTAGTCAATCCAGGGACACTAAGCTGAGATAACTTCATATGACAAAACTTTAAATATTATGTATATGGTGGGATATGGCAGGCACCAGTAGCTTGGTGGAGAGAATGTTAAAAAAAAAAGAAATTTTAAAAAATGTTTTAAAGTCAACGGAAAAGTAAAAATATAATTAAACATTACATCTTTGGTGTCAGAGCACTCACTATATATGACAACTTGCAATTTCCTGAAGAAATGGGTTGAAACAACATATTGGTTAAACAACCCCAATCTATTTCCCAAATTCCACCAAGGACCCAACATAATGCCCGGCAAATAAAAAGATTAAAAACTTAATCTTTTTAATTAAAGGTAGTCATTGAAATTGTAATAAGCTTTCTCTATTTCCATAAATAAAGGCAATTGATATGCACTGATATAACTAAGGGTAATTTTATAAAATATTCTCCCATTCTAGCAGCTCTGGAAAGTGAATCTCTCAGCCTCTATAGTAAACATTCATATGGAAATTCTTGAGCAAAAACATTAATCACCAGAGGAAAATGAGATTTGTTAATAATAACATTGTTCACATAGACACAAATGCCTTATCATTGATCATTGTGATACCATAATACTAGGCTACAATTTATTTCAAGAAAGCATCAGAAAGGAAAAAATAAGTTGCAGGGTAATTGTTTGAGGAAACAGGAAAGGGAAGGAATTATCACATCCTATCAGCCTAGGGAAAGGGGTGGTGGTGGTGAATGTGGCAGTGTAGGACTGATTTGTTTCCTTAGTACGATCCCATGGATGGCCTTCCTGAATCACCATTTGTGTGGGCAAGGTGGGAAGTAGGAACAAGGAATGGAAACTGAAGTCCAAGGCCCCAGCAATCATTTAGTTGACAATGAGCTGTTCTGGACTATTTCTCATTTTGTTAGCTGACATCTGTGCAATGCTTTTGACTTGTGCCATCTGTCTATAGTTTTGTAAATGGTCTTACTGTTTCTAACTCCCTTTCTCTAAGTTTAATGAAGAAACAATCTCAGTCTGCAAGAACTATTTCATTTTTAAGTTTAACAATAGTAGTACCTTAAGTTTGTAAGGCTGGGCAGTTCTGATGAACTGGGAATGCAGCGTGCTTTCTGCAGATTCATTCTTATTTCCTGAGGAGCGTCTTTGGTGAAGGGGATGCTGAGAAAGGCTTTGAGCAATGGCAGAAACTCGCTGGCACGTGTTTTTTTATTTTTTAAAATAAAGCAAAAAAGGAAGAAAGAACATTAAAGTGGTAATGGTTGACATTTTATTTCCAGACAGTAATTAAAACCAAATATAATGCTGTTTCCTACAAATACCCAGTGGTTCTGCCTTTCATCCTGATCAGTAAAAAAAAAAAAAAAAAATTAATCACTCATCCAGCAAGGGCCTCTCATGAGTCTCCTCTTACTATTAAGCACACTGCTATTTCCTGACATGTTCCTTACAGAACATGCTCTTTTGTTCCCTATTATATACCTGCATTCCTCTCTATGTGGAAATTCCATTAGAATCAATGGATGTTCTATACCTGGAACAAGTTCAGAATGGGCAATAAAGATTCACAGTTCTGATAAGAAAAAGTTACCATTCACAAACAGTTCCAAGGTTAAGTTGGAAAGTTATGGATTTTCTCCAAGGTATTATAAAATATCTCCACTGGCATTCCAATAGGCCAATAACAATATAAATCAATGCTTATCAGCATGAAGCTATCATCATTGAGAAAGAGAAACAACAAAAAATGCACTCTTAAAAGGACTGACATAAAAATGTTGATATAAACCATAGGTTTTGAATTATATTTATTTTTAGCTTGTGCTTTATGGATATAACTAGACATAGGTGGGGTCAAGACTGTAAAGATAATACTAAATTACATTATTATTATGCTATAGAATTAATGGTATTATTAGTGATAATTTAATGGTTATTAACAGTTACTTTATAGTCTCTATGTACCAGCAGTATGGGTTTTCCAGATATTATTTTATACAATTATTTTTATAAATTTATGAAAAAGATATTAATAGTCCCATTTTATACATGAGGACATTGACACACAGATAAAGTTTCTCACTGCAAAGTACATAAATAGCTTCTAATAATCTAGCCCCAGATCTCTTTGACTACAAACCAAGCTACAATCTCATTTATTGTATAAAATTACAATTATGAAACTATAATTTGTACTCCTCCACTAAATAAATCCAAGAAATTAGTAATTTCATACCCATTTCTAGCTTTCCATGCAAGTTCCTCACTAGGTTAGCCATTGGTAACCTCATTGTACATTCCTAGGCTTTCAAAAATATGATGAAAAATAGAATGTGTACATTATGTACAATTTTAAAGTACATTCTGCATACATCTTCCAGTATATCTTCTAGGTTACACACAGAATATGATGAGCTTATAAATCTGAACCCATTAAATTCCTGAGTTTTGTATTTTTGTTTTTAAAAGAAAGAATTGCTGATCTCTCCACTTTAACCTTTTACCTCCCATTTCTTCTATGTTAATATAGCACATACTCTTTTGCATTATGACTAGCTATTCATAAATATGTTTCTTCTAACAGTTTCTAAACTCCTGATCTTTATGTTCATCCCAGGCCAGCATGTCAACACTTAGCACAATATTCACGTGTCCAAACCCTCAATAAATGTTTATAAATAGAATGTCCATTTTAGAAGCTATTCCCAGCTGAATTTCCCAAGCCATTAATGTAAAAGTGTAACTCCTAGTTATTCTTAATTTCACTACGTACTTTTCAATTATGTTACCTTGTGTTTTCTGAAGAGGTTGTTGTAAAGGGCTCTGAAATTTTTTCTAGTATAGCTGCTTCGATAAGCTCCACCAATGAGGTATTCTATTACCAATCCAATGTCAATCAGTGTAATTTTGTAGCCCAAGAGAAGGGTGTGCTGAAAGAAAAACACGTGATAATTTATAGCTTACATTTCTCCTCTTTATTGTCACGCCATCAGGACATAACCAACTCAACTGCAAAGAAACAGAATTATATTTTTCAATCAACTTTGCAGACTGGTTTGTTAATATGCACCTACTGATATAATCTACTTCTTCAGTTTGGAAAAAAAAACCTAGCTTTAATATGTTTTTAATTTCACTGATATAGACTGCTTATACCTGCTCATTCTCTTTCTCTCATGCACACATGCTTTTTATAATAAAATACATTTAAATATAGTATAAAAGGTTATTTTTAACTGGATATGGTATAACTACTACAACAGAAGTAAAAGTGAATGAAGGACAAAAATTGAATGTGTGACCCAAAATTAACAGTGGGTTCAATGTTCAGCTTTTCTCTTTATTTAAATGCCTATATCACTTTACACTGTGTTGTCTACAGCATACTCCAAAGAAAGGGGTAGGGAGGGAGGATACAGAGCTACTGGAAATAAAGAACATGAAGTGACAGAAACAAATAAGATATCACAATATGAGTCTGTGCCAAGATAAACGGTATGAGTAGTAGCCTTCCAAGCCCTGATTCATAGTCTGAATAAAACTTATTTTGACCTTCTGAAATCCTTTTTAGTACCTCTTCATAACTGTTCATTTTTTAATTGACAGTAAATTTTTAAAGACACACCAACTACTAGCCCACAACTTTGAAATGAACATATTGTGACTTATGCTCACAAAGCTTTAAGCAAGGAACATATAAATAACTTAATTTCTCTATTCATACTTATGATTTACTTTTTTAAAAAATCAAAAATAAAGTACTTATTTGTTCCCAGTTAAAAGCATATTGATTTAGCTCCTTCAGTTCACTATGATAGAACCAGCTTTTAAAGAAATAATTTAAGGAAAATCATTTTGATCTAGCATAAAATTAATGCAAACTAAGTTTACATCAGCAAGACACTTTGTTTTCCATTAATTTGCCAACTAAATATCTTCCTCCTATCCCTTTCACACCATGCCAACATAACCAGGAAGTCATACTCTCTCCATCCAGGATATTATAACTCCAAAAATAAATGAAAGAAAAGTTTGTTTGTTTTTAACACATGGTGGAAGAATTTTAACTATGGTGACAAATAAAAGACATCCCAAAGTGTATGGCTGCTCTAATAAAAATTCTTAATAATTAAAAGATAAACAATTAAGGTATAAAGTTGGGAAGTTTGGGTAACTAAGGAGGGGTGACATAATTTTATATTGAATCTGAGTTCAAAGTTCAATGGGAACAGCATGAACAAATATGAGCAAGGAGACAGAGCAGTAGGGCCCACCCTGGCTCCTTATAACAATGCTTAGACTCACAAAAGAAGAGATAAAGCCCCCAAACTATCACTCATACTCAAAACAGTGGCAACAAAGACAATGAAATGACATTAATCCTCCAACAAATATACTGACAAGATGTTTATTTTTAACAGGTATGATCATCTCATCATCCATACTATTGCTTTATGTTGAGAATAGCTTTTGATGGGAAGTTTTGTATATCTCCAATTCATGTTTTATAAGAGAAAATATTTATTAGCTAATGCTACTTGAGAGATCAAATCTTTAAAGCATAAAATAAGTTACAGGAAAAACTGTGGTCATGAAATAATTCAGAGTAGTAGGTAAAAAGCTAATTCACCAGAAAATCCAAATTTACATTTTATAAAATTGACAACACCTCCAACACAAAGCTAAGGCAATACACAAAGAAAATTGCACACCTTTGTACTAAGGTTACCTGTTTTACATCTTGGACAAGATGATGTAACAGCATATTAGTAGGCCCTTGTTTCTATAATAAAGAACAAAAGGAAGAATTACTCATCTCAATTACCATGTGCGAGAAAGGAAATGTCATTTCAGAATGCATAAAAAACAGCATATTAAAGGTTTTCATTAGTATCTGTAGTAATGATGCTTAAGCCATATTATTTCTAAGGAAGCAATTTCCTAAGAGAAGATACCATTTGAATAACTTTTCAAAGAAAGATGTATATGAGTTAGTAGTAAGGATTTAACTAACTTACTTTTGTTAAGAGACAGAAACAAATTTTAGGTAATTTATAACTGTCCTTATCATAAATTGGACCTCAATAAAACATATCAAACAATTCTATAAACAAATATCTACTGAGCACAATGTTCAATGTCCTTAAGCAGTTCAATAAATAAAATCATTTTATTTGTAGAGTGAACACTTAGCTGAAAAGCTAACCAAAATTATAAGATTAGAACTCAGAAAAAGTGAAAGAAAAGCTTTCTTTAATGTGCTATGCCATGGACGAATTTTTTTTAAAGATTTATTTATTCATGCTTATAGAACTGGGGTACAGGCCAGATTTGTGGTGGGTGAGAGGATTCACCAGAGACAGAGTGGGGAGTAGAACAGGCAGATTAACAAAGTACACTGCTGAGGGGAGCGGCGGGCGGGTCAGAAGAGGTCTGCCACACCATATGGGTCAGGTCCCTTGCAGGGGATTGAACTCATACTTCAGTGGCTTCATGAGAGATTGTTAATGCAGTGCTTTAACCCATTGCGCCACCAGGGAGAGCCCTACCATGGAAGAATTTTAACCACGGTAATCTTAGTATATTTTAAATTGGTTTGTTCATCTATTCTGTGTAATTATTAATGGAAAACACAGCAATGACCATAGTATGAAATGAAATTAGTAAGAATGGTTCTTCTTTTATTGAAAAATGTGTCTATAACATTTCTATGTGCAAGGACATTCAACTGAACATTCAAGATGTAGCTTAAAATAAACTTTAAGCTAATTAATGAATAAGTATTTAAGGAGGTGACTGATGAAGTATTCCAATACTCACTGTATTATAAAGCTCTTCCAGTCGGGGAATAGTAAGAAAGCGATGGAGGTTCACTCCATATTCTATTAAGAGCTTCACGAAATCCACCCGATCCATCATTAAAGCATCTAACATTGCTTGTTCCAGTGAGCCAGGCTTCAAGAGGGTAGAAATAAATATAAGACACAGAGACAACAAAGAAAATAGAAATAACATCAAAATAGAATTAATACAGTATTGCAGGTATTTGAAGTAAAATCTATAGATACAATAACCATAAAATATAATCTCACTAGTATATACTCAGAATCTGAGTGAAAAAATAAAAAGTGAACCTGAAGGCATTAAAGATATTTAGAATGAATTCATAAAAGACTAACTATTGTAAAAAATCTCAATACTTCTCAAATTAGGTAACAGGTTTAATGTAATTCTAATAAAAATTCAAGGTATGTTTTGTACTATTTAAAAATAACCTGGCATGTTTCCAGTCAAACTATAACTGGTTAATGGTTATAAATAGCAAGTTAAGCATGCTTATGTTTTTTTTTTTTAAAGATTTATTTATTTGTGCATACAGAACTGGGGTACAGGCCAGAGGCTCAGGGGCGGTGAGAGGCTTCACCAGAGACAGAGCAGGGAACAGAAAAGGCAGATCGACGAAGTACACTGCTGAGGGGAGCAGCGGGCGGGTCAGGAGAGGTCTGCCGTGCCATGTGGTCACCTCCCGGAGCAGACGGGAATCGAACTCATGCGGAAGTGGCTTTAGCTTCTCAGTGCAGTGCTTTAACCCGCTGCGCCACCAGGGAGGGCCTGCTTATGTTTTTTTTAATCTAAAATTCCACTAAAGTTATAATAGAGAGATTTTTTGTTTTTGTTTTTTAAGAAATGAACCCTCAAGAACAAAGAGATCAAAATTTTGGAAGTTGGAAAGCAGATGGTTGAGTGGTAATTAATTAAGCAGTCTCCAGAAAAAGAAACTGGAAAAAGGCTTTTACCTTGCTGGTAAAAGCAGAAAAGACTTTGTGGTAATGTGACTAATCCAGGAGAAAAGACAAAAATATGCATATGTCTTAGGTCCGCAAATAAATGGTATCCAGATTACCCTACTCTTAAACTAAAAGGCTCAGAGTTTCTATTGATGCTTTATTGCCCTCTCTTAAGTACAAAGTCCAGAACAGATCACCAAGTCTCAACTAGAAGAAATCAGTGTAGGTAGAAATGTCATGAGAGTGATTATTAATATCATCAGAGAAGTAAAAGAAGATACTGTGTTCAGAATACCATTTTTGTAAAAGGTGGAGATGGGAGAGTATGATCAAACAAATTGCTTTTAGAAAATCATGATGCTATCAGAAACAAAAATCTATATAAAAGATATGAAGATTAAAGTAAAGAAAAGCTTCCAAAGTAAAAATATGGAATATAAGAGGACAAAGATAAGAGGGGGATAGTAATCCATAGGACCAACTATTAAAAAATAGGAATTCCAGAGAAAACAGTGCAAGAAATTCTCCAGAATGGAAACACATGATTGCCAGTTTGAAAGCTGGTGAACAGTATAATGGGATAAAGATTCACAACATCACACATCATTGTGGAATCTCAGAACATGCAAAAGAGAGAGTATTTTTAGAACTTCCACGAAAAAAATAGTAGCAAACAAAGGATCAGCAAATTGAAAGACTTTTGCTTCTCAACAACCTCACTAGAAATGAGGCATTCAAAACTCTTATGGGGAATTAGTTCCAATCTTAAATTAAAATCTATCCAAACAAATAAGTCAAAATGGTTTACCACTTGCATTCCCCTTCTTAAGAGGTTATTGAAGGATGCATGTCATGGAAAAAAAAGGAGTAAACCAAGAAAGAGAAAGATATGAGCTACAGAAAACACTCCAACAGAAAGGAAGATGATGAGGTATGACATTCCAGCAGCAGGAATAGTAGTTTACAACCAGTCCAGATTGCAGCAGAGAGGACCAGTGGATACAGTGAGAGGTCTCCAAAACTGGTGAATTGCCTAGCTCTGACTCATTCTTTAGCAATATGGAAATTTCTAATTGTTAGTACTGTCAAGAAATTATTAAAAGGACTTAGCTGTTACAAGACTGAGACTACTGTGTCTTTAGTAGTCGCTTGGCATCATTTGGTCTTTTAAACAATGTGAATGTATTCACTTGACTCAAAAAATAATATGCCTATAGTACGGTCACAACTATAATTTTTCAGTGAAAGTTTAAGTGTGGTTATCCTTAGTAGTATAGATCAACTTTTTTCTTTTCTGTTTCCACTTATTTCTATGGTGAACAGGTATTACATTCTAACACAAAGAAATGAAAAACAAAAATTGAAACAGTAATACAAAAATATGCCCATTTAGAAAATAAACAATCCTTCCACTTTGTCTTTTTTCCCAATATCCTCTGTCAATTTCAATTAGGTGGCAGAGTCAGAAGAAAAAAATTCATTTTCAGGAAAGCAAAGTAGATGAGATAGCAAAGTAGATGAGATAAAGGTTTCAGCTATCCCTGGACACCCAGCCAGAGTTGCCACATCATACCCCTACCAAACCACTCTATCCCTCCTCCAACTTCCTCTTTTTATCCTTTCTAACAAACAAAAATACAAAATATTGTTTCCAAATAACTTAATTTCAACTATACCTGCCAATGTTGCCCATGAATTAGAATATGTTTCTTGGCAATGTCCACTCTGTCCCAAGCCATTGCCAGATTTAATTGTTCTGATGCTGATAAATTTGTACCTAGGATGTACAAAAGGAACAATCATATATTATTTTCAAAACATCAACATAAAAAGCATGAAGTGCCATGGAATGTCAAAAGGGAGGACCCTGTTCTGACACTCACCCTTTAGCAGAGCTGTTAGGATTGCCAAATCCAGATCTTGTGATTCCTCAGAATCAGCATCAAATATGGTAATCTATAACAGTTCAAACAGAAAGCCATTTTGTATTTTGGGTACTATCAATGAAATATTTTCAAAGTACCAGCAAACTTCACTCCTGAGCTAGTGAATTAAGAAAAACATTCATCATCAAAACACATAGATTTAATTTTTAAGACAAATAAGGACTTCATTTATTATTTTAAAAGGTCACCTGCTGTAATTAATTGATCCCAGATTTTCCAAATGTCAACTTACTGTTCAATACAGAAAAGCCTAGACTTGCAAGTTCTAGCCCTAGATATATAATTAACTAGTTGTTCTTGGATGAATATTATATAGCCACTGAATCTTAGGTTCCTCACCCAGAAGAAAAGAGAACGCATTAAGTAATCTCTAAATTCACATAAAAGATTTTTAAAATACTATGTTACAACTTCATGTTTGTTCCCTCCCCCCCCCCCAAGCCTTTCTATGTGCATGAATAAAGTCAATCTTCAATTGTATGTAGCTAAGGAGCTAGTTTCTGAAATTACAAACCCTTAACTGCTGTCTCCAGGCCAAGTCCAACCATTACATCATTCACTAGCTACTCTGCTTGGTGACAAGAAGAGGCAGATATAAAGGTAATCTATCTTCATGCTCTCTTCTTAACTCACTGAATATTGTAAGAAATATAAAATGTAGTAGACCATAGACAAAATTTCAAAATTTCTGAGCTCAAGTTTTAGTTCTACTATTCTGGAATGTTCCTACTGAGCAAATCATTTAAATTCTCTGTTTGTTTTGTCATCACCAAAAGTGAAATAATCAGTGTGATACTGAACTCAGGTATGGGGCTATTTCAGATAAGAAAATAAATATTTGAAACCACACTGTTAATTGTAGATATGTCTGCTGTTACTACTGTTGTTATTAGGTGACCTAAAATTCCCAAAGGGTTTTTCACATAGTCAGCCATGTTTTGCCAGAACTTGCTCAATGTTTTTTTTTTGAAGCCAGCTGCTTATGTAATACCAAATCTTGTATGACTTAGTCCAATTTTCAAGTTCTAGGAAAATCACCGTGAACCATGACATATCCTCATGTTCAATTTTCAGCTTTGAATCATCCTAGTCATTGACAATGTTGATCAGCCAGAAGAGATATAAAGATATAAAACCTACTTTATCTCAACATAATTTGGGGAAAAAATGTTTATAAATAACCTCAAAACACTAAAATATTTTTCTGAATCTACATTATGTTATAGCTCATCATTTATAGACTCCATCTTCTACCCAGAATATCTTCTCACGTTTTCCATTTTCTAGTGCATTCCCCATGATCTTCTGTGGGATTACCCTGGATGTTGTAACAGTTATCTAACTCAGTAGACAAGTTCAGTTAAGGCAGGGAGCAATCTCTTTACCCTCTAAAAATACTTATGTTCAATTTTCACTAGATTTGATCACTTTTCTGTAATACTGCTTTACTTTCTAAATGCTTTTTTTCCAAATACAGTTGGGAATTTAAGGCACTGCTGTGAACAACGTGTGAAGACCATAAGAAGTTAACTTTACTTAACCAAGAATCAAATTCTGTAGAGTTTACTACATACACTCAATATAAAAATGCAAAAGGCCATACTTCTTAAAATTATGAAAATAACATTATTCTTGTTGAAAGTTAGGATTTGGATTTAAGTTAGCTGAATCATCATTTTATCATACTCACATAGTCCCTATGCACCATGCATTCCATCAGAATTTGAAAAAGGTGCTTGGACTGTTTAAGACTAAAGTTGAAAGTTTTCTGAATCGTGCATATGATTTCCTCCTTCACGTGAGGACGGAGGGTCCTGAGAGAAAGATAAATGATCATTTCTTGACATAGGCAATAAAGGGAACAAGCCAGCAACAACAACATAATAAAACCCTTTCACCTATCTAATAAGGTACCTTTGGGCAGTTCTGCCAAGAGCAGAAAGCAAAGGAAAGCAGCAGTATCAGGAGAAGTCAGAACCCAAAAATAAGGAAGGACTGATGTGGCATGATGCTGGGAAGAATGCTAAGGGCCAGGTTCTTGAGCTGACAGATTTTCAGGGAGGGCTGTGAATCTCAAAAAATTATGGGTATCATGTTCTCAAAAGAATATGAAACTCCAAAATATAAAAAAAAAAAAAAAAAGAAAGAAAAGAAACACTCGGGCTCTCTCTGGTGGAACAACGGGTTAAAGCACCACACTATGAAGCTCTCAGAAGACACAGCAGCACGAGTTCGATTCCTGGCCAGGAAGGTGACCCACATGGTGTGGCAGACCTCCCCTGACCCGCCCACTGCTACCCTCAGTAGTGTATTTCAGTACATCTGACTGTTCTGTTCCCCACTCTGTCTCTTGTGAACCCTCTCACCCACCACACCTCTGGCCTGTACCACAGTTCTGTAAGCATAAATAAATCTTTAAAGAAAAAACCACTCATCTAAGGTAATACTAGGAAATACTAGTAGAGGGCTGAGAGCTACAGGGGAGAGAACTTATAAGAAAGGAGACACCATAGAGCAGTAGCTTATAATTAGTGGAGTCTACACTTTAGTTCATAGATGCTGTATTTACTCACAGTATAAATAGCATGCTTTAAATTGGGAGATTCACACTGGATATAGGGATGACAAGAGAAAAATTACCTTCTATTTGAAAAGGGAAAATCATTAAATCTTAAAAAAGGGACAACGTAGACGATGTACATTTAATTTCCCCCATTCCTATTAATTTTTAATCACTGGCAAGCAAATTTAAAGGTGACCCATGGTCAACACTAACCATCTCACTCACTGAAGGGTTCTTGTGGCTATAATGGCCAAGTGCACAAGCATCCCCACCTCACTGTCTCCTGGAAATGTTTTTTTCCTGAAGTGCAAGTAATGCCAAGTGTCCTTGATAGAGACAGCTAAGGAAATAGTAACTTGCATATCTTTGATGGTACATTAATGGTATATTACAGATATTCAGTCTCAAAAACCATCCTCCAAGCATAACTGGCCCATTCAATGGCACAGATTAACACACTAAAATAGAGGAACAGAGGCCTCCCTGGTGGCACAAGAAGTTAAAGCACAGCACTATGAAGCTATCTACAGCCATTGCAGAATGAGTTCCATCCCCAGCCAGGGTTGTGACCCACATGGCAAAGCAGACCCCTCTATCGTGCCCACTGCTCCCCTCAGCAGCATATTTCAATCAATCTGTCTGTTCTGCTCCCCACTCTGACTCTGGTGAATCCTCTCATGCCCCCCACGACCACCACCTCTTGGCCTATACCCTACCCCTGTTCTTGCATGCATGCATAAATAAATCTTTAAAAAATAATAAAGGAACAAATAGTCACCATAGTTTCATATGTCAACAGTCAAAAACTCACCCTTCATCTGCTAGGTGTTTGTGGGTGAAGGCCAGGAGGTCGGCAGCCCTGCCCGTCCCTTCACAAACCACCACTGGATCTTTGTCCTTCACAGTGTCCCACACTGAGATGATGACATTGGGCCCTCCTTCCACCACCAGCCCCACCACAGGCACACCTTGTCCTGAGCCTATTTCAAATGATAAATGATATCAAGTTGGTACAAAGATTCCTATCTTGGTTGATCAGCCATTTTGGTGGACAGGCACAAACTTTAATTACCAGGGTGCTTTACTTACACAAGCCCCCTCTCTCTTCACAGACCCAAGAAGCTACTCAAGACCAAGAAGCCATATCAAAAAAAAAAAAAAATGATACAAGGGCCCCAATGTATCCATCACTACTCTCCAAAAATCTGTCCCTTGAAGAGTTCTTCCTGTTTCCCCACTGTCACCCTCAACTCCATATCACCTTACATCCTATTTTCTTCCAGCCATGGGCTCACATGTGTTAAGTTACAGCAGGGGTCAGCTAAACTTTCTAATCTGACAGATAACAACAGAGGGCCTTGCCTCACAGCAGGCCCTGAGCCAGGTCCTGTTAGCTGAGCCCTATAATACTCACAGCTGTGTATTTTCTGCAGCGAGAGGTATTTTTCCAGGCTCCTCCTGAGCTTCATCTCATTTCCATATTTGCCCACAGTTCCATCATCAGACAAGATGAAATGTGAGTGCATGCTGTTCAGAGTGGTGAGCTTGCTGAGGGGGTTGCCCAGAGTCTGGTATAGGCACACCACCTGCAAGACAGCCAGGAAACGGGAGGGTCAGAACTCCAAATCCTTTAGCCTTTGGGGTTCTCAGCTGTGCCATGAGCCACTCTGTACTATGGTGATCTGCCCAGGGTTCACAGCTCTGACTCGTTATCTAGAGCAGTGCTTCTCAAGCTAGCTGTATGGTCAGCTGAGTTTTTCCGATTCCCTTTTGTTGTGGATCAATGTGTTGTCCAGTATGTGGCTGGGCTATATACATGAAAAGAATTTGCTTCAAATGAAGTTGAGAGTGGGAGAGGAAGCTATAAGGGAACAGGTGAAACAAAATTGGCTGTGAGTTCCTATCTTTTGAACCTGGAAGAAGTACACAGGTAATTATGATTCTAATCTCTCTTTTCTCTACTATGTTTGAAATTTTCCAAAAGAACATTAAAATAAGCCACAAGTATGCCTATATTAATTGACATCAAGAAATAACTATTTCAAATAAATAAGCTTAAAAGCAGATTCACAGCAAAGGGCTTCCTTTTTTTTTTTTTTTTAAATACAACAAACTTCTGTTTTATTATACATAGAAAATATTCTGGAATAATACAGCTTTCTTTCTTCTTTCATTCTTTCATATAATACCTGAGATTTTTACAAAAAACACACATTCTTCTTATAGACAGTCTTAGACATGCCCATTTCCTTCAGAAACATGGGAAGGAAGATCAGATCAAAAAATCAGTACATAGGAATGAACAAAGCAGAGAAGAGGAATGAGGAAGAGAGAAAACAAGAGCCATACCACAAGTATCCCTTGTTTTACTACTTGCAAACCATCACAAGAAGCTTGGAGTCACTAAAGGAATTTTCAGAGAAGTAGCATGATCAAATTTTTATTTTAGAAGAGTCATTTTGGCCAACATGTGAGAATGGACTATAATTAAAAAACAAGGATGAGAGTAGGGAAGGTTATTATAATCATTCAGGTGACAGAAAGTGGTGGCTTACTCCTTTTCAGAAATAGTGGCGATCAGGAGAAGAGGTCAGATTCTGAGCATATTTTTAAAATGAAGCTGACATAAGTTACTGATGAGCTTGGAGACAGAGACAATGATCATTCCAGGATTAGTCCAGGGTTTTGGGCTTGTGTGACTGTAAGGAAGGGGCTGTCATCCTCTAAGACACAGTTGGAGGTAGAAGGAAGTCAGGGACTAGTTTTGAGATGTCTTGTTAGAGCACCACAGAAAACTCGAAGTTCTAGCAATCAGACACCTGTTCATCTCCTTTTGTTATGAAAGGATTGTCTACTTACATCTTTTCCAATAAGATCTCTCTGGTTCTCAATGACTCCCCAAGGAGGGATTCCAACTGTTGAGATTTTTCTCAAGGTCTGAGAAGAGTGAGCTTTCAGGGCATCCCCAACATGTTTGGACACTCCTATGAATGATTAATTTAGAAGTCAAATTTAACTCACAGATCATGCAAAACACCAAAACTACCGGAAAGACACAAATAGGCAAGCATACCAGTGTATGCAAAAGACGGTTATTAGAAAATGTTGGTGACCCAGGAGAATCAGTTTCTGGTAACTTGGCTTCCTCTATTTCCTCCTAACTTCTCTTCCTCCTGCCCCTGATCTCTCTCTATCTGAACAATTCTCTCCTTTTGGGAAAAGTTCACTGACAACCTCAATTCAGAGACATTTGACCTAACCAGAATGGCCTGCAAGCCCAGCGCTAACATTATCGTCATACTGAGCTTTTATTTTTTTTTCTTTCTAAACTTCTCTACTATACCAACACTCATTCTGTAGTATGTCCTCTGCTTCACTGGGGGACATGAACAGTTTTATATTCACAATTTTTCAAGAGTTAAAATATTTTGCTTACTCATCCTTTCATCCACAATATCTTTCCAAATACTTTGTACATAGTAGATTTCAAGGTTTGTGGCAGTCCATTTAAGAAATGTCAAAAATTCATGTCAAATATCAGACCATTTGAGTTGAAAACCATCTCAAGAACAGGCAGAAGCTTGTAAGCAGGGCTTTTCAAGTTTAAATTTCCATAAGAATCACCAGAGGATGTCATTAAAATACAGATTCAGATTCTACCAGTCTAGGGTGGGACCTGAAACCTATATTTCCAATAAGCTGCTGGGGAGGACTGATGCGGTGGGTCCAGAGACCTCTGTCAAGTAGTCACATCCCATGAAACCGAGGCTGAACAAGGCAGGGGAAGATTAAGGCTTAAGGAAATTCCGAGTATGTCTCAATTCTCATTTCTTTTGTTCATATGAACTGTTTCAGTAGTCTTTATATTATTATTATTATATCTGTGTTCCCTAATTAGCCCTAACCAAAAACAATAAGTAGTATAAAGCATGAGGTAGTTATTCAAAGAAAAGGCCTTTGCCAGATTTACCTTTTTCTGAACTCTGCAAAAATTCTGTCTCTTTTTAAACCAGAAGTAAACTAAGTACTGTACATTGGACTTAGGACTCTGCCACCTTCACTTTCTTTGAAGAATGTGAAGCAATAATTATCTTACCAAATGTACAAGGAGAACTATCAGGTTATCTATTAGAGCCAAACCAAATACCATAAGTTTTATTTTGCTTTGCTTTTTCAATCATTTGCTTCCTTTATGCCTTTCCAGTCAGGAGGAAATATTTTTTAATGATTTTATAGATACTGCTGCATGTGCTGTTCAGTTTAGGCAGATGTGAACAACCTGAGCTCACAAACAGTTCATAAACAGACTAACCTAACCTGTAAGGCAAACTATAGACATGTGACAAGTGCTACACACAGTAAATGTGATAGAAATTAAGAAATGAAAGTGAACAATTTTATTCTGACGTGAGTGATTGGCATACAACGCAGATCTCAAAGGATGGGCAGAATTTCATAGGACATATTAATGAGAACATCCCAAATCAAAAGAGGAAGTGAAGACAAGATGGGAAAGGACAGGTTAAGGATAGAGGTAAGAGATGAGGCTGGTAGTGCCACAGGATCTTAACCCTGACTGCAATTAGCATGCTTCAGAAACTCCACCCTGGACAGCTCAAGGTAATCTGGTGTCGAGCTAGGACATAAGTATTTTTTCAAAGCTCCCCAATGATTCTTAACATGCAATCAGTTCATAAACACTGATTCCGGGAGCAAGAATACTAGGAATTCAGAAGCTACATAAGGTTCACACAAGAGAAAAGTCAGTGCTAGTGTAAATTAAATGGCGATCATGTAGTTAATTATCTCCTCAAGACCAATCTGCCCAACACAGCTATTGCACTAGTCACTGACTTCCAATGTCAGGGCACTGGACCATGGCTACAAGAGTTTAGCTAATGCCCGTGACCCTGAACTGCACATTTCTATGAACTCTGTGTCCTTTATAACCTCCTGCACTCCGAAGCTCATAAAAGACTATTTCCGTTGCCAGATGTTGTGTATTTTGATTACAGTAAAAACATTTCAGGGAAGGCCTGTGACTCTTCTGGGGTTATTTTCCAGTCACGATACTCTTCATCTTTCTCCTTCATCCTGACCCATCCCCCAGGGTGCTACAGAGCAGAGATCTGGGGCTACACTGCCTGATTCACAGGTTCTAGGAAGAGGGAACTTAAAAAAAAAGTGAAACAAGGATGGTGCTTTACCTGTGTTAATGCCTTCAGTAATGATCCAGGCTCCTGTTGTCTTTGCAGCTTTAACTAAACCTTGGCTGAAGATCTCTTTAAGTTTAGAGAGCATTTTAAAGTTCTGGATGCCTCCATGGACAGAGATGACCAGCTTTGGCAGTTCCATCTTCCATTCTTTCAACATTAAATGTAACAGATGATCCAACTTTGTATCATAAGAAGTTCTGATATACTGGAAGACAGGCGCATGGACACATGTTTATAACATAGGGAAAATACACCCCAGAGAGAACACAGCAGGACAATCACAATGACCAAAACTTGAAAGAAGAATCAGAAATCTTTTTCAAAATAATGGAAATATTTACTTTAAAAGGATCCCACACCCCCCTTTAAGTTTCCTCTGGGAATTACAAGTCACAGCAGGGAGACTTCCTCTGGCTTTCAGGGTTGCCCCCAGTTGTACTCTAGAAGGTATGATGTGAGATAGAAATACTTCAAAATGGCAAAAAGCCAGCAAAGCCATTTTAAAAGGTTTTGATATAGGGTGAAATGGGTGATTTTTTTAAATAAATACTATGGCTTTAATTTTTAAAAAAAAAATTAAACTGGGGTACAGACCAGAGATGCGGAGGGTGAGAGGATTCACCAGGGACAGAGCAGGGAGTAGAACAGGCAGATCGATGAAGTACACTGCTGAGGGGAGCAGCAGGCGGGTCAGGAGAGGTCTGCCACACCATGTGGTCACCTCCGGGGCAGGCGGGGATCGAACTCATGTGAAAGTGGCTTAAGCTTCTTAGTGCAGTGCTTTAACCCGCTGTGCCACCATGGAGGGCCAAACTATGGCTTTAATTTATTTGACCATTTCATGTGTTTGCATAATTTAAATTATTATACATTTGCTTTCCTTTTTATAATTCCTCTATATGCATTTAGAAAAACAATGCAACTATTTTCCTAAAAGTAAATACTTTTCACATAAGATCACATTTGACTAGTTAATGTGGCCAGAAAAAAAGATGCATGAAACCCATGTCAGCAGGTAGCCTCAGAGTCATTCTGCTTTTTGTCGAAAATTGCAGTGTAACTGGCTTTCTACTTCTAGCAGGATTCAATTCACAAGGAAGGAGGTAGTGCTGCTGCCACAGCCACATACAAACCATTAAAATCATACTGAAACTGGCTCTCCCTCGTGGCGCAATAGGTTAATGCACTGCATTATGAAGCTCTCCCAAGCCACTGCAGCACGAGTTCAACAGCCCCCTCCTCCCCCCTGCCACATGGCGTGGCAGACCTCTCCTGACCTGCCACTGCTCCCCTCAGCAATGTATTCAGTACATCTGCCTGTTCTGCTCCCCCTCTGTCTCTTGTGAATCCTCTCACCCACCACACCTCTGGCCTGTACCCCAGTTCTGTAAGCATAAATAAATGAATCTTTAAAAAAATATTCTTCTTAAAAAAAAAATCACACTGAGACAAGTTTTCTTCCTTATACACAGCCAACAAACAGCAAAAATAAGTCAAATTTACAGGAAAAAGTAAGAACAGTAAGAAACCAAAAACTGCAAAACTTGACTAAAAAATAACTAAAGGATTAGATCTCTGGACATCAAATAGAAATTACTGGAGGATCTGTATGCTTCAGAATTTGGTAATGATTTTAAAACAATAACAATGTATCTAAACTTTAAACTTCATAAAACAGAATCACTCTCATTCATAATTAAATTAGAATTCCTGAGCATAAGGATGGTGCAGCCATGGGAGAAAGGAAGTAGCAGAGTGAATGGAGACAGAGGGTAACTAGGATTCAGTTCATGAGGAAGGAGCCTGTGCTGCTGCCACCACCTTACAGCAAGTTAAAGAAGAGGAAAAAGTACAAGGTGGCATTTGTGAGCCAATTTGCTTTGCTCTGAATAGAATACAAACACAGGAGGCAATTCTGGTTTAGCTCACCTTCTTTCTACCCTAATCTTTCTCCTAAACCTCCCTCTCTTTAAAATATAAGTCTTTTAGTCCTCAAAGGTATTTCTCCTTAAGATTTTAGGACAGGGCCCTCCCTGGTGGCGCAGCGGATTAAAGCACTGCACTAAGAAGCTGAAGCCACTTCCTCATGAGTTTGATCCCCACCTGCCACAAGGCGCGCCCGCTGCTCCCCTCAGCAGTGTACTTCCTCTATCTGCCTGTTCTGCTCCCCACTCTGTCCCTGGTGAATCCTCTCACCCTCCGCAGCTCTGGTCTATACCCCAGTTCCGTATGAATAAATAAAAAAATCTTTTAAAAAAAAAAGATTTTAGGGCAAACTTGATTAATTAAATTATAAGCCCTAAAGTCTTTTCTCCCAAAGGCCAACAGAAGGCAGTGCTAAAGGTTAACGATTCTTTCTCCTCCCCCTCACTTATAACTAACTCTCTTAGAATCCTACTGGCAAAGATTCATCTCCCAAATCTTTGAGAAATGAGGCAGGAGGGATAACAACTGGGAAGGAAAAGAACTTGGATGGAGAAGAATAATCAACTCCCACAGCCTTCCTACTCCTCTCTGTAAACCTAAAGTACAATTCTGGACTTCTATAAAGGATAGCCTCTTCTTTTCTCAGAGCTCAAATAAAATGCATTCAGATACATAGAAGAAGCAGGAAATGAATGCTGAGCATAAAATGTATTAGTGATCTATCTGACCATATTTTCAGTTCTAATAAATGCACCATATTTTCTTTTGACCTTCATACAAGCTGTTCTTAATGCCCAGAGTGCAAATTTTCCCTTCTTCCTTACCAGATACCTCAAGCCATTCATCTTTCCAATCTCCTTTTAGTTGTACCTACTTCAGATGGCTTCCTTACACACACATACACACAGACACATACACACACACACACACACACACACACACAAACCATGAGAGTTAGCCAGTTAGCCTTTTCATTCTCTCAAAGAACTTTGTTTCCCCTTTTCAAAGTACCCCTACCTCCTGTGTTCATTTATGTCCTACTATCCTCACCTGTCTATAAGCTTCATACATGAACATAGGCTCTTTGAGACATAGCAAAGTGTAGGCATCCAATAAATATTTGAACTGATGACAAGTGAGCAAAAAAAATGAAATCAAAAGAAGGAAAACTGGCCCTCCTTAGTGGCGCAGCGGGTTAAAGCACAGCACTAAGAAGCCAAAGCCACTTCCGCATGAGTTCAATTCCTGCCTTCTCCAGAGGTGACCACATGGCTTGTCAGGCCTCTCCTGACCTGCCCGCTGCTCCCCTCAGCAGTGTACTTGTAGATCTGCCTGTTCTGCTCCCCACTCTGTCTCTGGTGGATCCTCTCACTGTCCCTGCACCTCTGGCCTGTACCCCAGTTCTGTATGCATACATAAATAAATCTTTAAAAAAAAAAAAGAAGAAGGAAAACTAACACCTCAGGGGGAAAAATTACATAGACAGTTCTATGAGTTTCCAAAAAGAATTGGAGAAGTGTGGACTATTTTCCTGCCAACTACAGAAAATATCACACAAAGTTCAATATGAGAGGATTAATAGCCAGAAATCTAGACTACAAAGAGCACTGTATAAGGAACTTTTATTATGATTACACTACTAGGAAATGTTGTTTCAAGTCCATAGAACAAATGGCCAAATTCCAGAATGCAATAGGTTCTGAGCTTTCCTAAGGTAAATACCCAGAACTTTCCCTCACCTAATAAAGTAGTATATGACTAACATGCTCAAAAGAAAACACCCATGTTAGCTGACCAGTCAATACAATGCAACTCACTGCAATACCATCATGTCAGGCACAAAAGAAAAACTGATGCAGAAAGCCCAAGTACTATCTTTCTGAAAGGACAAGAAATTCCCCCACTTCTTTCCTGAGAAGAGGCTCTTACAAGAACACTGCAGGCACAAACAGCCACAATAATCTTCTAATTATTTGCTGTGGCCATGCTTCAGTTAAAGCATGCTTTGGGGTGATAACTTTTTTCCCCATTCCTTAAGAATAGAGGAAGCCTTTGGTAACTGTCTCAAAGTTTAGTAAGTCATTGTCTTTTGCAGAAGCCAAAAGTTACGGGGGAAAGGTCAGTGAAATAAAGAGCAAGTTACTTCACACTTGGGAAAGGTACAATGCCCTGCAGACATAAAGGAAGGGTCAGATCATTACAGGGATATTTTTGCAATAAAACCTGGTCATGTAATCACCTATACCTGGAGATATAGTTCATCTTCTCTTAAAAACCAGTGAAATACTGGGGTGGCAGACCAACCTTGGAATGGTAGGTATGTTCTCCATCTTGGAAATTAATAGTGCCAAAGGTATCGGTAGGGCTTTTCCTTGTGTGTTTTTCAACAGACCATTGTTCATTTTCAACACCATTGGCGGCTGAGATAGTCCAAGGATGATCTATCCCATGATGGTCTCCAATCAATCGCCCACAGCTACACCTTAAATTTGGGATTAAAAAACAATTTTAGGAGAGAAAACATTCCATAGTTTTCTAGGGTCACATATAGATGATATAATCTAACAAGTTTTTTAAATTTCATGTTAAGATTTATAATATGGATTTTCCTCTAAGTTTAGAAACCTTTCAGGAGTTCTCTCCCTTGGTAGCACATTAGAATTATTTCAGGAATGCTTTTTAAAAACACTAAAAATTGGGCCCAGCCTGGTGGCACAAGGGGTTAAAGCACAGCACTATGATGTTATCCATAGCCACTGCAGCATAAGTTCAATCCCTGGCCAGGGAGGTGACCCACTTGGCACAGCAGACCGCTCCTGTCTCACCCATTGCTCCCCTCAGCAGTGTATTTTAGAATATATGTTTGTTCTGCTCACTACTCTGTCTCTGGTGAATCCTTTTGCCACCCTGCACCTCTGGCCTGTACCCCAGTTCTTGTATGCATAAATAAATGAATCTTTTTTTAAAAAAAGACAATAAAAATCCCTTGCATGCCCATATTCATAGCAGCATTATCTACAATAATCAAAAACAGAGATTTACCCCAAGTGTTCAAAAAACAAATGGATAAAGCATTGTGGTATATACATACTATAGAATATTATTCAGCCTTAATAAAGTTATGAAATTCTGTAATAAGCTAAAACATGGATGAACCTTGAGGACATTATGCTAAATAAAATAAGATAGTTGTAAAAAGACAATACTGCTGTATCCCACCAATACGAAGTGCCTAGAGTACAGTTAAATCCACAGAGATAGAGAATGGAGTGGTGGTAGAAGGAGCTGGAAAGGAGGGGCCAGTGATTATACTTAACACTACAGATGTAGACACCTAAAAATGTTATCGTTGCTGTTGTTTTTTAAAAAGTCTATTATATAGTTTAAGAATGTGCCATTTACTTTGTCAATTATGCTTCAATAAAGCCATTAAGGAGAAGTCTGACAAGATGGAGGAAAAGCAAAGCTGCTGGTCTCCCCTCTCCACACATTTACAATCAATTATATGAATAAGAACAACAATCCCTGGAGGATAACCATATGACAATGATATACATAAAAGGACAACACAGCAGAGAGGGTAGGAAAACTGAAATTTGCCTTTCTGTTGCTGGTGACTGAAGTGTTCAGGCCTGCATCAGGGATGTGAAACCCAGGAACAGACCTGGAGAGGGTGCAACGTCATCAGTGTACAGGACAGAGGTCTACCTCTGTAGACTAGTAGGAGTAGGGAGCAGAGGATTGAGGTAGAGTGCCAGGTAGACACTATATTGCAACATAGAAATCAGGCACTCAGAGTTATAGAGTGAAACACCCTACTCCCCTAAACAAGGAGGATTCCCCAAGAGGAATCTGAAGTCAGCAGATAGTCTTGGTAATTGTAGGATCTGTATAATGAATGACTGTCAGCTTGATCTCATACCTCCCAGTCTCACCTCCACTGGGACTAACACCTAGATAGCAACTCTATACAGTGAATACTGTCCTTAACCAGAGTTTAATGCAGTAGGCTCTTGACAATAGGAGTAAGCATAGAGGAACAGGGTTCTGGGGAAGGGAACAAACCTCAATTCTGAAGACTGTAACCCCCTCCAGATATTACAATAATTGAGTGAGGATTGAGGTAAGTCTGCAGGAGATTCAGCTTTTTGTACAAAGTCATTAACATAAACCTTGAGAAATATGCTCTCCCCCACCTCCCTGTTTTTGCCTGTAATCAGAACCTGGGCACCAGCTGGTCCACAGTGGGAACCAGCAGATCTCAGCCTTGGTTCATTCTCTTCCTGCCCCCTCCATGGTCACAGATCTGGTAAAGCAGAGCTGAACAACAGCAGAGAGGTTGGTGCTGACCCAAAATTATTTGAAAGTTTTGACTGAGGACTTGGCCTAGGGAAAGTGGTTATTGTAACAACTGCCCCACACCACCACCAACCAAAAAAAAAAATCTGTGATAGCTGCAGAACCTCAGGAGGCTTGAACTCTAGATACTCACTAGCAGTGCTTGTAATGCTGTACTTCCTAGCTCCTGTCTCCCTCCCCTTACAAGCATTGACAAGTGCAGAGATGTCAAACTATGAAGCAAGACACCTAAGGCCAACTTCCAAAGATAAGGAAATAAAGCTCTTCATTTCAACTGAAATCAACGAAAATGAACAGCTGGAGAAAAATACCACAAATGGTAGAATAAAAACAAACAAACAAAATCCAAATCGTGCCTTCCCTGGTGGCACAAGGGCTTAAAGCACAGCACTGTGAAGCTATCCACAGCCTCTGCACCAAGATTGTAATCCTGGCCAGGGAGCTGACCCACATGGCACAACAGACCTTTTTTGTCTCTCCCTATGTTCCCCTCAGCAGTGTATTTCAGTCAATTCACCTGTTCTGTTCCCCACTCCGTCTCTGGTGAATCCTCTCAATCCACCTCACCTCTGGCCTGTACCCCAGTTTTTGTATGCATAAATAAATAAATCTTTAAGGAAAAAAAAAGAAATCCAAATCTAGCAGATCTGCTAACTTACCTGAAGAGGAATTCAAGATAACAATGATACTGTACTTGTGGAAACAAGAGAAACAAAGGGTGAAGAAAAAAAGGAATGCAGCAGAGACAGAGAAAACTTGATATGGTTACACACAGAATTAATGGATATAAAGAAGACCATAAATGACAAGATGCATCAATAACTCATAAACACAGGTTGATACACTGGGTAGATAATGCTTAAATAGACCAGCAAAGAAAAAAAAAAATAAAACAGAGCTCTTTGGGACAACTTAAAGAAAAACAATATCTGTCTCAGAGAATACTAAAAGTAGACAAGAGAAAAGTATTGACAATTTTTAATTAAAGAAATAATAGTTAAGGCCCTCCCTGGTGGTGCAGCAGGTTAAAGCGCAGCACTGAGAATCTGAAGCCACTTCCGCATGAGATCGATTCCCGCCTGCTGCCTGCCCCGGAGGAGACCACATGGCGAGCCAGACCTCTCCTGGCCTGCCCGCTGCTTCCCTCAGCAGTGTACTTCGTCGATCTGCCTGTTCTGCTCCCCACTCTGTCTCTGGTGAAGCCTCTCACCACCCCTGAGCCTCTGGCCTGTACCCCAGTTCTGTATGAATAAATAAATAAATCTTTAAAAAAAAAAAAAAAGAAATAATAGTTAAGGTTCTCTGTAATCCAACAAAGGAACTGGGTATCCTGAGCTAAAGGTTCAAAGAAAATAGATCCAAACAGACAGATCACAAAATATATTATGATCAAACTGTAGACATTATTATAAACTAGTAGACATAGACAACAAAACTAAGGTTTCTAAGGTTAAGAAGAATGGGGAGGGGGGAGGTCAAAGAATATAGTTTGATGATGGAAAATATTGAAAAACAGGTAAACAAAAAACCTCATAAAGAAACAAAAATCTCAAAAATATAATACATAAGAAGAGGGGCCTCCCTGATGGCTCAAGGGTTAAAGTATAACACTACGAAGCTATCAGCAGCCATTGCAGCATGAGTTCAATCCCTGGCCAAGGAGCTGACCCACATGGCGTGGCAGACCTCTCCTGTCCCGCTCACTGCTCCCCTCAGCAGTGTATTTTGTCAATCTACCTGTTCTGCTCCCCACTCTGTCACTGGTGAATCCTTTCACCAGCCCCTCACATCTGTGGACTGTACCCCAGTTCTTATATGCATAAAAAACAAATTAATCTTTAAAAAAAAAAAGGAAAGTTAGTCAATGCAAAATGAAAAAGATGCAACTTCAAAGGAACACATAAATACACACAAAAAACATATGAGAACTATATTATACACATAAGGTAAATAATAAATTAATATAGATACCATTTTGAAAGGAGAAAAATTTAATAAATGTTCTTGCAAACAGTTTTGAAGAACATTTAATATACATCTAATACACAATCATGATTTTTACTATACAACAAAATCAATTAAGAAAATTAGGTTAAACTTAAATTATGAAAACAGAAAATATGATTTTGTGAAAAAAGGATAACATTTTCTCCTTTGATGAATTAGGAATATTTAGAAGGCAAAAAAATAGAATTTGAATGTATAGACCTTGAAAACTTTCTGCAATAGAAAATTGTACATCACAACTAAGAAAATTACTTATATCAAATATGTCAAATCTTATATTTACTGCATACAAAGAGACTGTTAAGTTTATAACTGATTCAGGCTAAAAGAAAAACAAATAATAAATAATCACAAGGTGCTTGCTCTGGCTAGATATGTTAATCAATCTGCCTAATTTTGACAAAATAGTTGAAACTATTATATTAAATGTTGGTAAGGTAATAGTGAAAATAACACATTCTCATATTCCTGAAGGCATACAACATTTGGTAATATTTTGAGGTGTGTAACAGAAAGACATGTGACCAGTTCTCTAAGGAAAAGATGATTACAGACACTAATCTTGAGATGAGATAACCACTGGAATTATGAAAGACTTTAAAATAGCTATTATAACAATACTTTGGCTGATCTCTCCCAGCCAGCTACTCATGCTTTTCCTTCCTACAATTCCTGAAACTGCTCTTACTCCTCCCTCCAAATATCATACTCAAGAACAGAGCCAGGAGGACATATGTGCAGCTACCCCTGAGGTTTTGAGCCTCAGATGCTAGACTAATTGCATTTGATAGGAAGAGTTTATATTGTACCAGCAAAAGGCTTCAAAATACTTAAGTAATGCAACAGGTCTTTACCTACTGACAATGTATTCTAGTTATTTTTTTTTTTTTAAGATTTATTTATACACACAGTGCTGGGGTATAGGCCAGAGGTGCAGGGGTGGTGAGATGATTTACCAGATTCACCAGAGACAGAATGGGGAGCAAAACAGGCAGATAGATGTACACTGCTGAGGGGAGCAGCAGGCAACACAGGAGAGGTCTGCTGCTGTCATGTGGATCACCTCCATGACGGGGATCAAACTCGCACCAAAGTAGCCATGGCAGCTTCGCGGTGCTGTACTTTTACCAGGGAGGGTCGACAATGTGTTCTAGTAACCAAAGAAGTGAAGGGAAAAGCAGTTGCCTCAATACCCAGATATTGATTATTCTGTTGTTTCAATGCCTCATGATACAATAAAACCAGGAAAATTTTCTCCAATAAAATAAATAAACCACTGAATGATTTCAATTTTAGAATGAAGACAATAAAGAAAACATTAAGAACCACAAGCTAAAGTAATAGAAACTATTCGATTTGAACAGAGACTAAAAAAAGAGAGAGATAAAACAAAAATAAATAGAACCTCAGAAAGGAAGCTATAGGAAAATATCAAAAATCTAACATTTGTAGTAAGTATAGATATTTGAAGATATTTGAAGAAATAATGGTCTCCCCAAATTCAATAAAATATATATCTACAGATACAAGAAGCTCAGTGTACTCCAACAGGATAAACATAAGAACTTCATGTGAAGAAAGAACATAATCGCATGGTACTAAAAGCAAAGGATTTGGTAAAAATATTTAGAGAAAAGCTAGAAAAAAATGACATATTATTTATAAGTAACCAATCTTGATTTATTGGAGATTTTGCCTCAAAAATCATGGAGGACAGAAAACTGGAACATTTTTCTGTTTTTAAAGAGCTGTCAAATCAGAAACTTATATTGTAAAAATATCTTTGAAAAATGAAGATAGGATACAGACCATTTCTAGTTGAAAAAAAATAAAGAATTCATCACAAGCAGGATTTCTTTAAAGAAAATACATGTATTCAATACAATGAAGACCACTTCTTTTTACTATATTCTTATGTTTGCTTAGAAGTTTAGCAAATTTTCAAATAATTACAAAAAAATAGCATTCGAGGAAAAGGTGCAAGGTTAACTAAGTGGAAACTCTTCCTCCAATATTAAGCACTAACACATGAACCCCCAAAATTCATATGTTAAAACCCTAACCCCCAAAGTGATGATATTTGTATTTAGGACCTAAACAAAGTTTAAAATGTGAATCACTAGTAAAGGTTATATTGCATTATAGAGTTAATTTTGCCCACAAGTTGTATAATTATAATGAATATACATTTGATCTTTATCTCTGCTTCTTCACTGGCACCAAAAAGCCTTGGAGTTTTCTAAATAGAAAGAATAATAAATATGGTGGAGGTTTAATCACAAATACCAGTGATTCAATCAAGCCAAATATACCTATGCGATGAAGCTTCTATAAAAACCCAAAAGGGGCCCTCCCTGGTGGCGCAGCGGGTTAAAGTACTGCAATGAGAAACTAAAGCCACTTCCGCATGAGTTCGATTCCCGCCTGCCCCGGAGGTGACCACATTGCGTGGCAGACCTCTCCTGACCCGCCCGCTGCTCCCCTCAGCAGTGTACTTTGTCGATCTGCCTGTTCTGTTCCCCACTCTGTCTCTGGTGAAGCCTCTCACCGCCCCTGAGCCTCTGGCCTGTACCCCAGTTCTGTATGTACAAATAAATAAATCTTTAAAAAAAAAAAACCCAAAAGGATGGGGTTCAGAGAGCTTCAGGTTGGTGATCACAGAGGTGAGACCCAGAGAGTGACACCTTGGAGAGGGCATGGAAGCTCTGAGCCTCTTCCAAATATCTTGCCCTAGACATCTTTGCATCTGGCTATTCATAAATACACTTTACAATAAATTAATAAGTGTAAGTAAATGTTTTTATGAGTCTTGTGAGCCATTCTAGCAGATTAATCAATGAGGAAGGGCTCATGGGAATCTCTGGTCTATGGTCCAGGAGTCTGAAGGCTACTCAGATTTGTGTTGGGAGTCCCAAGTATGGAGTGAGAGTGTTGTCTGGTAGGACTGAGCCCTTACCTATCTCCAGTAGATAGTGTCGGAACTGAGTTAATTATCTGATGGTATTGAAACTAAAACACAGGCCCTCCCTGGTGGCACAACAGGTTAAAATGTAGCACTGGGAAGCTGGCCACAGCCCCTTCACTGCAAGTTCGATCCCCAGGTAGAGAGGAGATCCACATGGTGTGAGAGATCTATCCTGATCTGCCCACTGCACCCCTCAGCAGTGTACTTTGTCAAGTGTACTGCCTGTTCTACTCCCCACTATGACTCTGGTGAATCCCCTCAATGCCTCTGTACCTCTGGCCTGTATCCCAGTTCTCTATGCATAGGTAAAGAAAACCCCTATCAGGATTAGTGTAAGAAATGGAGCTTGGTATGTACACATATCACCTGCAAGTCACAGATCACATTCAGTGTTGTTTGTGAATGAAGCACTTTTATTATCCAAATATAGCATAGTAAAATGAAAATATAATGCTTTATAAGTATTTCAACAGATGTGCTTGCCATGACCCTTATGCACTTACATCTTCCAGTAATTAAAATAATTAGATTGAAATATCCAGTCTCCTTCCAAAAATATCTCATTTCATTTTTAAAACTTTCCTTGAAAAGGCAAATAGGACACACCAACAAAACCCTTTCAATGGGTCCATTTAAAACATGAGAAAACTATCACAATGAGTTTTAAACAGGAACTAAAAGTTAAAAGAAATTTTATCTACTTAAATCTCACCTGATTAAATTCTGGCAGACCTGGCATCCTGCAGTACATCTAAATTTTAAAAAATAAAAACTTTATTAGTATTAGAAGGAATATGTAATATCTTCACTGCCACAAAGATTATTATCTTCGATGGGCTGGAAATCAGGACTTTGAGTCTTCATATGTCACTTCCCAAATATTCCCATAGCCACTTAACAATATAATTATGTTGCAACAACTTTGACTTAATTGACAAAACACTGAGTTTGGAGTCAAACTACCTGGTTTTAAATTCTGTAAGCCTCAGTTCTCATATCTGAAAGAAGTTGTATCCTGTAAGTTTATTAAAAAGATTATCTGAGATGTGGATGTTGTTTTATACACTGATACCCTGCCTATAATGGCAGCTGGCATCACTACACTATGACAATAAAAATTCTTAAGAATTCTGAGATACAAGTAAGAAAATAGATAGGTACTGTAGGATAAATGGAGATGGCTCAGGCTTTTGTGCCAATGGCCTCTGCAGCTATCAGCGGAGGCCTTGAATGCAGGAGGCACTTGGGAGTGTCGGCTTGGGGTGCACATGCCTGCGGGTGGACACCTGGAACGTGGTGTGAGCATACGTAAGCAGCTACACCTGAGCCTTGAGAGTGAGCATATAAAGGTGGGATCACAGAGGATGGGGGCAGCAGAGGACAGTGCAGAGGAGAGCCCAGAGGGCCCCCCAGAAAATCAAGGAACCGTTGCTATAATTATTATCCTTACTAATTTTTCTCTTATGATTCAAAAGAACTTTCAGGATGTGGGGGCTCGTACTGTGGTCATAGAGGATCATGTTTTAGATATAGAGGAATTTTAATTAGAAGAGAACTCTCTCTAAAGAACAAGATAGTGCTCATAAAATTGTGTCATTCTAGATGTTTCAGAAATGTTTCCTCCTGCCTTTTGGAATGTATTGTTACTTTAGATGTTTCACTTCAACTATAAATTCAAAACGAAAAGGAAAAAAATACTTCAATGAAATCTATCAGTTTAGTTTATTAGGAACTATAAAAAAGAGATAATTTATTAATTATATTTAAAATAGAAAACCACCACTTCTCTCCTAGGTATCACAAGGAAGAAAACTACATGAAACCCATAATTTTGATAATCTTACTAGGATCTAAGAGAAAACCAGTCCTCCATTAACTTTTTTACTATCACACAAAAATAAAGGTAGCTTTTTCCCTAAAATCTATAGTACATCTTGAACATTTATGAAATTATGATCACTAATATTCTTCCTGAGTCTAATGTTAGTGACCTACAGTTTATCACTCTTCATAAAGTTCAATGTAATTATGAAGATGACTTTCCTTTACAGAGCTCATTCCACCTTCTACAGCAACCACCATCCCATTAAAAGATGCCATAAAAGAGAAAGGGTAAAAACAAGGTTACCTTGGTATTCTGTAAACATTTTATAAGCAAGTAAAATGGGAGTTTCCAATCACAGGACTTATAAGCCACAGGTAATTTTGTGAAGGTGAATTCCTTTACTTTTAACTTCTTTTCCCTGAGGGTAATGCTACCCAGTCTTCATTTCATGGAACCAATTACACTAGGAAATTTTCCATGGCCCTTTCTTCCCCTCTCTTTCACTGGCTGCTATTTTGAACTTTGTTCTATATGCAGAGCTTCCAAGGAGTTGTCAAGAACTCAGAGTAATCATTCCATTCTGCTGTCCATTATCCCCTCAAATGAAAGATCTGTGAGAGAAAAATGTACCTAAAACTAACAACTTGAGTAATGTGAGCATAGCATTCTGAAATATCCCAATCACTACTTTCAATAGACACTTTAGAGATAAGTCACAATATTTTGAATATTCAATATTCAGAAGCTGTAAATTTATATAAATAAGCATTTCACTGGTGAAATGCTTACAGATATTTCCCTGATACTATCTCCCCCCCCCCCCCAGAGGAACAAGAGACTCAAAGATAAAACAACAGTATGAAGATGCCACATACTAACAGTGGATCCAGCAGAGTGATATCAGTATGATGAACTTTTATTCTTTTTATTGTATTAAGTTGTTGAACAGATGCTTATCAGGTGCCTACCAAACATGGCAGTCACTGTCCTAGGTGCTGGGTTTGAAGTGGGGTACAAATTAACAAGGTTCCTGTACTTAACAAAAAATCTGCTGAGTTTTTCTAAAAATTATGCATTAATTTTATGAAGATGAAGAAAAGGGCACTGATTTTAGATACTCATTTTATTGATATTATCAAAATTTCTAGGTTTTCCCAAATAAATTTTAAGCAGTGCTGCTTTAAAAAGAAAAATGTAATTAAAAATTGTACCTGTGAGGGCCTTTTGAGCTGGGTATGATTTTGCTACATTCTCTCTTGTCAAACACTCCTTCAATCCAGGATTTCTGGGACTGAACAGAAAATATTGTTACTTTTATAAGCTAATTAATTGAAAAAGTAGTATAACCACCAGTAGTTGAGATAGGCACAATATTTAATTATCATATACACTAATAAAATGTCAAGGTGACCCCCAAACATGCTAAGCATTTACTGGCCTCTCTAACAGACAATATAAACATAAACTAAATGTGAACCCCCAAAAAATTCATAATGTTAGTTGGTCTATTATCTCATTTTAAGTGAAAGTTCCCTAAATGTACAAATCAACCAACAGATATAATTGCTATGTTCTTTTAATTCTGTTAAGAGTCCTTTTCATATCTTGTACCACAATCCTACAGTGAATATCAAATTCTCAAACTCCAAAATTCTCACTCATAAGTTTTTCCACTTTAGCTAAGATTTCAAGTAGCTGGAAAGAGTATAAAAGCAAGATTGATTCACCTTCTTTAAATATGGCCTACCGTTGACTATGTTGTGTCGCATATCCTGTAACTCAATTATTAAATCTAAGAGGAATACTGGTACTCACATTACTCCTAATAAATTCTATCTCATTCTACAAACTCAAACCATAGCTGAGCTCTTAAAGAAACTGTATTAAAAGTCTAGAAGCATAAAAAGACACTTCTCCAAAGAGGAAATGCAGATGGCCAACAAGCATATGAAAAAATGTTCAACATCACTCATAATAAGGGAGATGCAAATTAAAACCACAATGAGATACCATCTCACCCCAGTGAGAATGACACATCTTCAAACAACTAGCAATAACAAATGTTGGAAGGATGTGGAGAAAAAGGAACTCTCCTGCACTGCTGGTGGGAATGCAAACTAGTACAACCACTATAGAAAACTGGCGGTTCCTCAAATTGCTAAACATGGAGCTTCCCTATGACCCAGCAATCCCACTCCTACGTATCTACCCAAAAGATACAAAAATACTGATTGAAAAAGATACCTGCACCCCCATGTTTATTGCTGCTTTATTTACAATTGGAAAAACATGGAAGCAGCCCAAATGCCCAAAAGCAGATGACTGGATTAAAAAGAAGTGGTACATATATACAATGGAATATTACTCAGCAACCAAAAAAGAGAAACACATGTCTTTTGTAGCAACTTGGATGAAGCTGGAAAAGATCATGCTTAGTGAGATAAGCCAGAAATAGAAAGAAAAATACCGGATGATTTCGCTCATAGCAGGAGTATAATGGACCAGGCGAGAAAATAACAAAAATAATGAACAACCATATACCAGAGACATTTTGTAGGGGTGGAGTGGGGAGTGGGATCAAAAATGGGGGGGGGGGGAAGTGCACAGGATTATGGTGATGGCACACAGGTGACTTAGTGATGGGAAACCCGCGGGGATTACAATTGAGATGGAAAAAAAGTGTACAAAATGATGTAAAAATAAACTGTTATATATTAAAAAAAAAAAAAGTGTAGAAGCAGAGAACACTGAGTCCACAGTAGAACTGAATCAACTGATGAGCTTGGCTTTTTCTTCTAACATGAAAAAAATTTAGCTCTACATGGCGTGAAAAACTAACTGTGGCTGTAACTTTATACACACATACATATTAGAACAGTGATGAAATGGCAAGTGAACCAAAATCTACAAGGAAGTTTTCTTTCAGCCTCCATGTTAATGCATTTTCTATCGCACTCCTATTTACTTCCAGCCTACAATTGAAGGAAATGCACTGAACCATAAAACATGTTACAAATCCATCTGTGAAAATTCATTACTACACTTTCAATAGTTCCCCAGATGACTATGAAGGAATTCAGGACATACCACCCCAAAATCTGCCTCCTTGGTGTGTTGCTCATTTTGAGCTAAAGTAACTATAAAATAGCAAGTATGTGAAGATTTTTCTAAACTGCCCTTATCTACTTAAACACAGAACTTCCAAAAGGAATTCAATTGTCATAAGTCCCTTTCTTAGCAGTTTTGCCAACCAGATGGGCTTGATTCTTATCACAGGAAAGGGGATTAGAAGCTAATACCCCACTTAAACAACTCTGTTACAGTTTGTCATATCTCCCATTAGGTCTTCAAAAGCCCATTCATCTTTCCTAAAAATAGTTTTCTCCTCTTAGTGTTTGCATCCCTTCTTTCCTTCCTCTATTAAGTTCCCAAATATTTGAATATTTACTTTCATCTACCTGTCATGCCCCCACATATATAATATTAAAAATTAATCAATCTCTGTAACTTTTCTCCTACTCTACCTGTGGCTTGTCAGTTACTTCATAGACCCAGTTATCAAACATTGGAGGGCAGAGGAAATTTTTCTTCTCCTACAATGCAAAAGAGGCCATTTATAGAATCATTTACATACTTGAATATTAAATTCATGGATCTTGTCCAATATGCACCGACTTTAAGTATGTGTTCATTTCTGCACAGAATTATGTATAATCAGAATCCAAGTCTTGTTTAAAAATTGAAAATGGCACAGTGGGGAAGTGGGGATGGGCCACAGGAACAGAGATTGGTTGGTTCCTGTGCATTTTAAACTTATCTATATAGAGAAAAATACCCCAGATCAAGTGCAGAGTCATCTTAAATCATCCTTCTCTCTTACTCCTTTTGTGGGGTCAGCAATTGTTCTGTGTTGAAAGATACTCATTATAAACCACTCACTATAAATCTAAAAACTTGGAAAAAATCCAGACTCAGAACTTAGAACTAAACATACTAAATTCCAAATCTATTATAACAGAAGCAACACCGTCTTTTACAATCAGTAAGCCTGCCCCCACTCAAGAAAGTTAATAATTTCATTTATTCACTCTGAACATGTACGAAATACCTAATTTTTGCAAAAAAAAAAAAAACTTCTTGTTACTATGGAGGCTCTTGAGACGTTCCTTCGTTTGAATTTCAAAGCATCTGAATTCGTTCAACATTTTTTTCATTATAATAGTTTATTTTTACATCATTTTGTGCCCTTTTCCATCTCATTTGTAATCCCCATGGGCTTCCCATCACCAATTCACCCATGTGCCATCACCATAGTCCAGTGCACTCTTCCCCTCCCATTTTTTATTCCATTTCCTACTCCACCCCCCGTAAAATGTCTCTGATATATAGTTGTTCATCATTATTATTATTTTCCCTCCCTGGTCCTTTATGCTCCTGCTATGAGTGAAACTATCTGGTATTTTTCCTTTTCTTTCTGGCTTTTTTCACTAAGTATGATCCCTTCCAGCTCCATCCATGTTGCTGCAAAAGGCATATGTTTATCTTTCTCACTCAACAAATATTTTAGGATAGGCCTTCAAGCTGCATGCTGAAAGTCCTTGCCAAAAAACAAACAAGTTTTTTGCTCTGAAGCAAATTAAAACACATAGGAGAAAACAGAGAATAAATTGATAGTGTTAAATTTATTGTGTACCAATTAGCTATTAAAAACAGCTCCAAAAGAAATTGCTATACAAATTAAACAAGCTGTGTTCAAACACTCCCTTCTTTTAGCCAACTCCAGGAGGACTACCCGGATAAATGACTTCATCTCTTCATTTATTCATATATAAGAAATGGAAATCATCATAAATCTACCTCACTAGACTGTTGGAAGGAATTGATAATTTAAAGACTTAGAATTCTCCCAGGGACTTATCAAGGTACAATAAAGCTTAGCTATTATAACTGGTAGTATCAAAAGTAAAATTTAGCTTTCAGTTGGTCACCTAGAAACTTATTTTGATTTTTTTCCCCATAGAAATATGACCTCCAAATCTCCCTTCTAGCACCTCTCAACTACAAATAAATGCCCTTTACAGGCCTACTTTCCCTCACTAGACCTACCTCCCCCAGGCCTCTTAACGGTTATTTCTGTAGCCCCAGGAACCTACCCCGTGCTTGCTGAATAAGCAAGGAAATTAACACATTTAAAATAGAACTTTGGGACTGGTGTAAGTATTTTCTCCCCACAAGTGTAAACAGGAAACCTTTGCCATAATAAGAAAGAGGAAATTTGTCCTGCAACATCCATAGCTTATCTCAAAACTATGAGAAAACATAAGTGGACTTAATTGAGAAGTGTTTTCAACAATTCTCAATTTAGAACTTTATCACCCTACCTCCTAAAAGAACCTTTCAATATCCAGTGCTAGAGGGAGGAAGTGGCTCCCATGTTCAGTTCCACTGAAAACTATTAAAAGACCAAAGGTTTGTTGGTTCTGATTCAATAACCCCAAACTATATAAGGCAAATGCCCAACATACTGGCTTCTGATAAAGGGACAGAATATCCTCCTGGTAGTAGAAGTTGACCATCTTGGCCATCTTTATAAAGTGGATTTTACTTTCTTTTAAAATATACTTGGGAATAAAAGACACAAAAACAATGATTGAAAAAGACACCTACACCCCCATGTTTATTGCTGCTCTATTTACAATTGGAAAGACATGGAAACAACCCAAAAGCAGAAAAGTGGTTGACAGGATTAAAAGATGTGGTTCATATACACAATGGAATATTACTCAGCAACCAAAAAATAAATAAATGAACGCATGCCTTTTGCAGCAACTTGGATGGAGCTGGAGAAGATCATGCTTAGTGAAATAAGCCAGAAAGAAAAGGAAAAATACCGGATGGTTTCACTCATAGTAGGAGTATAAAGGACCAGGGGAGAAAATAATAATAATGATGAACAGCTATATACCAGAGATATTGTATGGGGGTGGGGTGGGGGATGGGAGGGGGCGAGTGCATGGGACTGTGGTGATGGCACATGAGTGAATTGGTGATGGGAAGCCCATGGGGATTGCAACTGAGATGGAAAAAGGCGCAAAATGTTGTAAAAATAAACTATTAAATATATATATACACACACATGTATACACACTTGACGATTTGGTTGTTTTTAATTGTTATAATTTGACAGAGGGGTAGGGAGAAGACAAAGATAATATTATTAGCCTCAAGCTTAATGTTGGTTACAAACAACTGGCCTTACATGCAATCTCAGGTCTGAGGTGAAGATAGAGAATTACAAAGAAATATCTAAAGACGTATACTCCAACAGCAGTGTGCTCAAACTAGCCCAATACTCTCTCACCGAAAGTATTTCTACATTGAGGCCTTTTAGCATTTCCAGGTAACAGATTCTCTTTGTGAAGTTTTGAGAAATAAAAAATTCATGTTAGAGACATTCTTTCAGTTTAGAATGAAATTCTATGTCATAAAAAATTATGAGCAAGGAAAACAGTGATAAGGGTGACCCCCCCCCAAATCCTCACTACTAATGTGAGACAAATTTTTGAGCCATTGAAGGTCATGCCTAAGATGACCCACTAACTTTGTGGGATGCTGGGAGTCACAATCTGGCAGGAAAAAAAATAAATCATTCCAAATATGTGCTTTTTTTTTTTAATATCCGAGGGAGTGAAGAAGAGTATAGAGAACAGGCAATTTATCTTCATTTTTATGAGCTTCTTGTACTAAAAAAAAAGTACTACTAACAAATACATCTTGAGCTAAAACTGACCACTTACTCTCATTTATATTCTCCCATTCTATGTTTTACGCTCATCATATGTTAACACTCAGTAGTTTTTCTCTTAACATTACTTTAAAATGCATAAGTCAGAGCAGTATTTTATTTTTCTAGCATCTACAACACTAAGCAAAATACCAGAACTGATCAAATAGAAAGTAGTTTCACACTCCAGATTAACACTATACTTTTCCTACACAGTCCTGCCTTATAGCAAAGGACTCTTAAAACCGAGTACCAGGCAGATGGACTCTTCCTCCTACCACACACAATCTGTCAGCTAAGAAGAAACTGCAGTAGTGCAAACTCCACCTGTCTATTCCAAGATTCAGCTCGGGTCTGCTGCTGGGTTCTGTCTATACTCTTCAAGGACATGTCCCAGGACTCAATCCAAAATAACCCTGTCAGGCAGAGGACAATCAAGCAACAATAACCAAAATCCAAAGCTCTAGTTGCCAGGTGTTGACCTGACTTGTTTTCTAGAAAAGAAAACTTTTCCAGAAGCCAGCATTAAGAGTAATTCCTAAAAAACACAAGACAGGGCCTTCCCTGGTGGCGTAGTGGGTTAAAATGCAGCATTAGGCCCTCCCTGGTGGTGCAGCGGGTTAAAGCACAGCTCTAAGAAGCTAAAGCGAATCCTCTCATCACCCTTGTACCTTCAGCCTGTACCCCAGTTCTCTAGGTATTTATTTATTCTGAATTAATGAATAAATAAAATCTTAAAAAAAAAATGCAGCACTACACAGCTGACCCCTGCCACTTCAGCACATGTTTGATCCCCAGCCAGAGAGCTGACCCACATGGTGCAGCAGACCTCTCCTGTCTTGCCTGCTGCTCCCCTCAGCAGTGTATGTCATCAGTCTGCCTGTTCTGTGTCCACTGTCTGCGGTGAGTCCTCTCACTGCCCCTGGACCTCTGGTCTGTACCCCAGTTCTCTATGCATGGATAAATAAATCTTTTTTAAGAAACTCACAAGATAAACTTCTTTTTTTCCTTTCTGGCTATAAAAGATAAGCACTATTTTATAATATATTTAAGTAGGAATGTCAACTAGATAACTCATAAGTTCTTAAAATGTCACCTCTCCCATTCAGATGAAGAATTTTACTAACATTTTCATATACTACTTTGTTAAGCAAAGGTGCTATGAATTTCAGGATAAATTTCTGGATCATATGAACCCATGGGATACATGAGTAAAACATTTACCAGTTTTCCACCATTCCTAATGGGAAATAAATACTCAACTGTGATCCCACCCTCAAATAAAGATTTACAAAGAACCCCATTATAACAATATAAAATCACAATTCAAATAGCAGTGAGAAGACTTTTCACAGACTTCAACCCAGACCAGTCTCCTTGGGAGTACAATGTACAAACAACATGTTTACAATTTCAAGTATTAATTATTTTGATAAGAAAGGAAAAGAAAACAAGGATGCTTTGTTTTTATTAGAATAAAAGTGGCTAATGAATACAGTGTAAGTGAATGCTGACCTATTCATTGTCTAATCATTTTACTCAGTTAACATTTCCCAAATTAGATATTCTCAATAACGTGCAATTTTCAAGCAGCAAAATATCCACAAATTTGCTTATTCATTATGCATTATCTTTTCTTATACTCCAAATATCCTGCTAAATTACCCAAAAGAAGTACTCTAACCAAGGGGGGAAAAAAACACTTCCTTATTGTGAAGTTATATTATTTTGTATCTTAAATAATTGACTTTTGGGAAAATCATCATCCTCTGGGACAATAAAGTTTTTATTAGAAATTACAGGCTAAAGATAATTTCACCTGTCATCCATAATAAAGTTTATATACACTATGGAGACTACCTGTTTGATTTTCTCAGGGAAGCACAGCAGAAAAAATACTGCAATAGGATTTTGCTGCTTGAAATTCAGTCAAGATTTTAACTTAGACAAATTCAAAATGCTTGCTAAAAAATGAGAGGGCAAGAAGATGAAAGAGAAAAAAGAAGAAAAAAATGGGACAATTTTAATGTTATTCCACTCTCAGAAGTATCTTATGCCTAAGAGTATTGCATTGTATTACTGGCTTTGGATACTTTCATTTTTATAAAAATCACCAGAGACTTCCAAAAAGCTTTCATTTATGTGAGTGTGTCTTTATGTATTAAAAATTAGGGGCCCTCCCTGGTGGCACAGCAGGTTAAAGCCCTGCACTAAGAAGGTAAAGCCACTTCCGCATGAGTTCGATCCCTGCCTGCCCCGGAGGAGATCCACGTGGCGCCGCAGACCTCTCCTGACCCACCCGCTGCTCCCCTCAGCAGTCTGCTTCATCTATCTGCTTGTTCTGCTCCCCGCTCTGTGTGTGGTGAACCCTCTCGCCATCCCTGCACCTCTGGCCTGTACCCCATTTCTGTAGGCATAAATAAAATCTTAAAAAAAAATTTTTTTTTAATTAAAGTGACTGTATGTCGGCATCAGGGTGAGTGTGAGACACAGGACCAGTCCTTGGGTTGACTGCCCCGTTGGTCTCAGGTACACATGTATGTCTTACTGTGCTCTCATCTCAGTGAACACATTGTAGTGCTTCAACAACCCCTATGTTATCCGATATTCAGCTGAAGAAAGTTCCAACATAGAGAAAAGCAAATAGAGATCCTATCTTTGTATTATACATGACAAGCAACATAAAGGTCTTCTGAAGGATAACTTTTATTGTATTCCACTTTTAACTTTACAGCCAAGTTTAGTATCTATCACATCTACCACCTCAAAGATTTCAGTGAAGCATAAAGATTGGGGGTGGGAGTTAAGTCCTTCCAAAACCACAGGCAAGTCTATTCACTCTTCCTTTAAAATACTGGCATCTTTAATAACAATAGCTTTATTCATTTACAAATTATTTGATTGGCATATCCTTTTATTCTAATAAAAATAAATAAATGAAATTGTGTCCCAAAGACAACACCAAATGGGAAGAACTGACTTTACATACAGACGTCAAGAATGGCACAAAAGCAGGCTGTGGGTTCTATGGAAGAGATATCCCCTTTGTATGTAGGTATTTCTTCTGTAGTATATGGAAGTCTTCATGGACTTCCTCCATATTAGGAAAAATATTGAAATATAACAAGTATTTTGAGAAGTCATGATGTAATTGATAGAAATGCAAAGATTGTGGCCTTCAAAATTCAGAGAATACCCATATTAAGGTATTGTAAAGCCTTGAGGTTACTAGGCAACAAAGAATAGAGAAGATCAAAGAGACAAGACTTTTCAGAAACATCTGTGCATCTGCTACAGAAGAAAGACTTCAGAGACTGAAGAAAAGATTTACATATCAGGATGATCACATGATGCCAGATGGACATCAGAAAGGGAGAAAGGGTCTCTCTTTAATAAAAAAAGTTTGCATGACTTTGAAAGTAATTTTCAAAGAAAAACTGAGAAAGTGTATTTAATACTGCAAAGAGGAGGATGGTAATTTTGTCCATGATGAATGAACAGATTGAGAGAGATTTAAGAAATAGGATGTAAAACAAAAGAGGCAACTAATATAAGCTACTCTCTGGAAAAAACAATATCAACAAAAGCAGAAGTCAACACTGATAAAACTTTTCAGATACACCAAGGACTACGCTAAATCCTTTATGTGCTCCAGACAAAGATATTGTCAGCTATGTGACTGATACAATTGTTATTACCTCTCTAAAGAATAATAAGTAGATTCTAACTAAAACAATTTGCCAGAGTGCTTTCATGTTAAGTTTAACACACAATTTTGAAATTTTCTTTCATGTTGAAAAA